AAAAATTAAACTTTTCTGTCATTGAATTTACTTATTTCTACAAGGAATTATAAAAATCAACATGGGGGCTCTGGCAAGCAGACAAAATGCTGGAGTTGAAGAGGCAGATGTAGTCTCTAATCATGCGTACAAATATCCACCCAGATCTGGTTCGTATGACCTTTATCTTATTTGTATTGAGCTAGATTTAATTCCATTAGATTTACTCGATAGTATCGAATTTACAAAGCTGAATCAGACACATACAACTAAACTGTACATGGTCTTACTTTATACTTTTCAACTTTAATAAATCGTTGCAATATTTCAATTTATAATATTGTTTTTAATTTTACATTCATAAATATGTCTCTTATTTATAACAAGTTATTAAACTCTAGCAAAGATTTTGATGACGTTTGTTCTTTAATATACTGGATTTACTTTATTAATCAGTAGCATTTGCCCGCAACTTCGCCCGCGCGGAATTATAAAAATATCAAGTAACAAATACAGCCTATGTCATCTAGGTATAGTGTAGCTTCCTAACAGTGACGGATTTTTTTAATCAGTTCAATAGTTTATAATCCTAATTAATGCAAACAAATTATCAAATCTTTCCTCTTTATAATATAAGTCTAGATAATAAGGATAATTCTTTGTGTTAGGCAACTACTTTGGAAGTCATTTCATCATGGGTGGTGAACGATTTGACACACCTCAGCCAGAAGCATACTTGTTTGGAGAAAATGCAGATTTGAATTTTCTTGGGAGCAGACCAACTCCTGTAAGTGCCATGTACAAACTATAGACATCAGTTACCTATTAGTATTCTCTCATGACATTATGTTATTAAGTCTGCTTGTGGAGTGCTATAACTATTCATACATCTGTATTTACATATGTTACTATTACAGGATCCCAGCAACCTCCTGTCAAAAAAGAACATAGTAGGCACTGGTGATGTTATTTATACCTTGTTATTATTATTGAATACACAGTATTTAATATCTTTATTTTCAGTTCCCATATCCACCTCCTCAGTCAAATGAACCAACAAAGACATTGAAAAGTTTAGTCAACATCAGAAAGGAATCATTAAGATTTGTCCGATGCCCCGAACCGGTTGGTAAATTGAATGATAACAAGATAAGTGATGGAATGATTAAAAGTGTAGACTGCAACGTAAAAGGGACATATTATAACATAGAGTTCACATTTGACTGTGATGCTAGATGTGCTATTACTGTTTTCTATTTTTGTACCGAAGAGGTGACTCCGGCTGGTGTTGTGTAAGTAAATATAAGGTTTTTATTTTTAAACATAACTTTGAAGTTATATCTTTAATGAGTGTCTTATTTATTTTATTAATTAATTAACTTTGTTTAGCTAACACATGATTTTAAAGACTTACAATACAGTTGAACCAGGATAAACAAGAAACCTCTTTAAACAAGAGTTATTTTAATCTTCATAAGCAAGAATATTGTTGCAATCACTTGGACTCTTGTTTATCAAGGTTTGACTGTTTATAGAATCTTTGTTCCAATAGTTTAAGAACTTCTTAGTTCAAACTGTTTAAACATTTTTTTTATAATAGGTATTATCCCAGAGATCCCACAATGACCTCACAGACATATCACTACAAGAAAGGTGCCAATCAACAGTTTTGTCAGATCTCACATGTATTTGACCCATCAAAGTACCCAGAGGAAGACTTGATTTACAATGCGGATAGAGAAATAATACCCATTGCCATCTATTGTGTTGTTGATGAGGGACAGGAAGGTAAGAAAATGAAATATATAGTAGCTGTCGCCTGCGATTCTGTCTGCGCGGAGTTAAAAAAAAATTAGTAGCCTATATGTTGTTCCAGACTATGTTCTACATTTATACGAAATTTCAGCGAGATCCATAAGTCATTGAGGAGATACCTCCAAATAAACATCCATCCATCCATCCAAACATTTTATAATATTAGTCAGATTTCACACCTGAATTATTAATATACTATTGATAGGAATGTGTTGATTGTGTTTTATCCAATAAATAATTTGGTAATTGTCTATGGTACTGTATGTTACTGAGCTATATACAGATAAAAATAAATTAATAATGTTCTATTATAAATCTTATTATTCTAGAGTCAAAAGCTATTTGTTTAAATGAGAACAAACTCTGTGGGAATTTGTACTAAACAAGTTGATATTATATATATATTTTTTTTTTCAGAAATTCGGCAATCACACACTACCATAGCCATTATAGAAAAACACTCAGATGGGACATATGTTTTAAAAGCATTGAAACAAAAGTTATTTGTTGATGGATTATGTTATCTGCTTCAGGAAATATACGGCATTGAAAACAAGAATTTAGATACAAAGGTATATCAGGGTTTGTTTTTCTATCATAGTGGCAATTTTTAAATCATTAAGTACTAAAATAGAGTTTTTTATGTCTCATTATTGAATATTTCTAGCTTTAAAACTACCAATTTTCTGCTTCTTAATTATTAACTTAAAAAATATATTAAGTAGTCTATGTGTTCTTCTAGACTATGTTCTACATCTGTGTAAATTTGAGATCTGTTGAGTCGTTCTGTAAATATCTTCTAAATTTTTGCTTTTATAATATTAGTAATATTTGAAACTGTGTATAATTGATATTATTTCCAAATATGAAAATTAAATTTTTTCCAGTTATTTATATTAATCATAGGTTTTTTTTTGTGTAACATCCACAGCCAAGTTCAGATGAGGAGACTGAAGATGGTGGCTCAGAGTGTGTAATCTGCATGTGCGATGTAAGGGATACTCTGATCCTGCCGTGCCGACACCTCTGCCTGTGCAACTCATGCGCAGACTCACTTCGCTATCAAGCGAACAACTGCCCCATCTGCCGCGCACCCTTCCGCGCCCTGCTGCAGATCCGCGCTCTGCAGAGACTCTCCGCGCCAGGACTGCTGCCTGCACCCACTAATCCACCTGATGTAAAAATTCATTGTAACTGCATACAAAAGAATAGAAATCAATTAATCTGCCTATATTATTTACATTACCATATATGGGACGTATAAGTGATCTTTTTATGATGAGACTTTTCCGTCTAGTCTAGCAAAAGTAGCCTTATAACATCATAGAGTGGAAATAGTAATTGTTGTTGTGTTTGTGTATAGGGCAGTATGGAGAACATCCCGGCGGGGTACGAGCCGGTGTCGCTGCTGGAGGCATTGAACGGACCGAGTGCGCGCGCGCGTCCGCCGCCTGCGCCTGCTCCCGCACCAGCCATCGCCAGCCCCGATACTGACACCGCCTCACAGGTATACACTTGTTACAGCGTTCATCAGAGATGGGCTAATTGGCCACAGTGGGCAAAAATTATTTACATTGTGATTGATGATGTCTGTCAGGCGGCGGAAATCTTGAACCGTTGCAACGTGGAGCGCGAACGCAGCTCGTCCACTAGCCTGGGCAGCGGCGGCAGTCGCAAGGCGCGCCGCGGCTCCAAGGAGACTCGCCCGCCGCACCAGCCGCTCACACCTGAGGTATCGCAACCTAAAACTAATCAAATCTATATTTAACTTATTATATTTTGTACATTGTAACACTTTTGTGTTAAATACAGTTCCGTATGTCGGTGCTGCTGGCGCGCGAGGAGGAGGCGAAGCGCGCTGAAGACAAGGCGGTGGCCAGCAGCCCCCTACTCTACAATCACAATGGACTCTCTTCGGACAAACTGTCCAAAGTAGGTGTAGCCAATTGAAATTTTGTTGGTTAAAAACCAATGCTGATTACAAATTTCATTTACATTCAGGAGGTTTCGCTAGCAATCAGACTTTATATTTGTATTTGATATATGTAGAGTTCATTGAATTCTCACGGCGTGTCGGAGGGCGAGTCGCGCGCCGGTTCCGCGGCCTCGGTGTGTGCGTCCGATGACGAAGCCACGCCCACCGCTGGGGCGGAGCCCGACAGCGACGCCGAACGCCGCTCGCCCCTCCTCGCTAACCAGACCACGCCCACGCTGCCTGTTAATGGGGTAAGTATACTGATATCTACTCAAAGGAATATGCTTAAACACTTAATACCTTTAAAAACCCCTCTAGAAGTCGACTTCGCATACCCATATTTTATAATATATATTTTAAAATGTAAAATTAAGAACGATGGTGGCATGTCCCGGCTATTGAACAGATTTGTATGTAAAAAATTATTCAAGGTGTTGAAGAACAGCGGGGCTGCGCTACGTCTGGCTGCGCCTGCGCTTGCGCATATCGACGACACCGACACTGAGGAGGCAGACCCCGCGCACAACTGTCAGTACTACTCACATACTATACAACTATGTACTTAGCATTGCCGGGACCAGGTGACACGCATGTTTCGTACCCGCAATGGCGACGGAAACTCGTCTATATTTATATGGTCAAAATGACCATATGCAGTTAAAAATTAAAGTTTTTACGGCAGAGTAAAATTTTATTATAGTCACTTTCAAATCTCCAATGGGTAAATTATCTTCTATTAGTATAATATCTTCGGACTAAGTTTTTGAAGATATAATACTATTGGACTGATTAGAATCAATAACGATCAAGATATCGACTCCTATTTATGTTTTAGATATCAACAAAACATTTCTTAGGGTAAAATGTTATAATTTTCCGCCGCCATTGTTATCGCGCTGCATGTCGCGTACATTATCGAATCGGCTTCCGTTGAAGTTTCAGAGCGTTTCCATTTAAGATGATCGAAGGTCATTGGACATACGAAATGTGCCAAGTGTCATGGCTGCCATCCATACTACAACTGCTTGTTGAATATTTATTAGCATATTTGATTATTTTTGACATTAAAATGGTTTTTGAAGTGTTATCCCTTAACAATGTAATAAAAATCTGCATATTTGGTACTAACGATATGAAAAAAGTAATTATCGGTTTTCAAACTTTAAATACTTTATCTTTTATATAGTCAAAAGTTAATTTGTTTAAGAAAAAAAAAACAGATAGGTCTCTTGTAATGAATGGGTCGTAATGTTAGATAGAGGTAGGGGTGTAGGGTTTGGGGGTGTGTAAGTGACATGTCCGCTGGCACGCAGCGCTGGTCCGCACGCCGAGCGGGACGTCCCCGGCGGCGGAGGACTCGGACTATTTCACGCCGGAGGAGCCCGCCACCACCATCCTGAGCGGGCCGCGCGCCGCCAGGCCTGTAAGTCTTCGTACCGCATCGCCTCGCCTCGCATCGCCTCGCATTGCATCGCCTCCTACCGCTTGCCCTATGCATTTCTTTTGCGCGTTCTGGTTTCATATTCGTTGCATCCATTTTGTTTTGTCATAGCTCGTTCCGTCATTTTGTTTTAGTATAGCTGGAATATATCTGTGTGTATAACTTAACTAAAATGTCAGGATTTTATAATATTTATAAAGTATTTCATGATTGACCATAGACAAAACCCTTTTTAGACGACAGTAGCGCTATTGTGTTTAGTGGACAATAAACAAAAATATATTTAATATATTCCAGCTATGATTGTTGTAATACTAGTAGCGTTTAAGTTTGTATGGTTGTCCCTTGTACGTGGCGGTTCCTTGCAGGAGACCGCGCCCTCCGTGGGGGCGGAGGCGCCGCAACGCTGGGCCCTTCCGCACCACGTCACCTCGCTGCCAGGTACGACCTGCTTATAAATAAAACCTATTAGATGCATGTTTGTTTAATATTCCTTTTTTTATTATTCCTGTCGAGTTAGCTTTAAATTATTTTATAAATGCTTTTTACAAATAGCGTCACGGTTCCGTCATTTCTCGTTATTGGTATGATTCTATTAGGAGTCTTTTTTTCGTAATTATCCTATTTGTTAAAAACTTCTTTTATTTATATTAAATGTTATTGTGTGTAGTTTATAGATAGAAAACAATTATATTTCCTTTTCAAAAGTGTTTAGTATTTTCTGAATTATAATTTCTGTGACACAATTTTATCGATAAAATCAAAAACTGGATGATGATAGGTTAGTATTATTATGATTGAAAGGACTAAAGCTAAAAAATTACATAAAATCATATAAAATTTTGATATTGCAATGTAGGCCTTGTTATAAGAGAATAAGGTTATGTGGTATACAGGCACTCCTCTGAGCCAGTGGAGCGCGCGGTCGTCGGGCGAGTCGTACAGCTCGACGTCATCCTCGCGGCAGCTACTGGCCGCGCCGCTGCCGGCTGAGCCCTGCTAGCGGCCGGCCCCCAAGCGCCTCGCGCTCTCCTGCCACGCCCCCGACACACCTCTCTCGCCTTTCTAACATACAAGTAACATACTTTCCCACGTGTATATGTAAGAAGGCAGGATAGAGATAAACCAAGGCAGCCCTAGTTAACTATTGTAACTTAATTTTTGTACGAAATCTATTTCATTTCCGTGTATCTAGTTCCCACCCAAGTTGTATTAGACTCCACCCACGTGCTTTTACCTCTCCCACTCACCACGCCCCCAACAGATAATTGTCTCTCTCCTAGCTTCATTGCTTCTGGTACTTTTAAGCTTTTATCTCTTACGCACCTTCCACGATCCTAAAGGTGTCTTTCTCTCTCACACACACTTATACACTTCTCTGTAGCGAATCAGCCCCAGGCTAGTAACATGTCGGTACAGTAATTTCTGTGATTCCAATTGTATTCTACAGTATAATAAATTAATAGCACAATAATTGTGAATTGGCTTCATGATAAGTGATGGTAAGGTAAAAATTCTGTAAAATATTTTTATGCTAATATATTTATGTTTAAAATGCGAACATTCCTTTGAAGCGTATAGTATATTGTATTTCCATTGTTATGTAAGATTGATAAAGATATCTGAGATTGTAATATTAACGAATTGATATTAAAAAATGCAGCTAAAGTAATATAAACTTATTTACTATGTGTACGTATTTTAAAAGCTATGGTAATTTCATGTATTTGATGCGTTTTTACATGAATAGTTTTAGCATTCTTTGACATGTTGCAAAAATATTATAACAGTAATAAACAGATAGAATATTATTTAAAGATCCAAATGGACAAGGTAAGGTGATGGCTTTTATTATTATTTCATAATAAAACTGTTTTTTTCCTAAGAAAGTTTGTAAAAATATGTAGTAATCTTTCATATATTTATACTAGAATGTGAAGAGCAAGTGGATTAGGCAAAAAAGAAGGAAGTTTCCCCTTTCTGTGCAGCCTTTCCTATGTTGATTAAAGGTATGGTGTGTATCTGTTGATGCCAATGTTTTTAGGCAGCTGTCACTTTGCTATTTTGGTGTTTGTATATAAAATATTTTAAATGTATAAAGCATTGTTATTAACAAAAGAGTATTATAGCTTTAGATTAAGTAAAATTTATTTTAAGTATAATCTGAACAATTTCTGATTCAATACCACTTACCCAATTTGATACTATAAGGCGTTTTTTTTCGTAATTATTTTAAAGTTTCAAATATCTTTTATAGTGTCTAGCATGAAAAAAAAATATGTCTAAGGGCATGGTTGCGCCCCTGCCAATAATTTTTTTTTCTGTAACAATATTTGACATGTTGACTATAGCAGCTTATATATAAGATTGTTTATTAAGAATAAGAGTGCCCATTATTACTACAAATACCTAACAAAAGCAACAAAGTTTTGTAACAATAAAATATATTCGACTTGTATTAAAATATTGTAATCTTTTAGATGTATTTTAAATAGATGTATATTAAGATAGAATGGTTTTCCTGATGTAAGAATCTCATATTATTATCCCTCTTTAGAATTTTACTGCAATATTTGTCTCATAACTTCCATTTAACTTGTTATTGATTATAATTATGTTTATGTGATTAAAAACTTTATTATATATAAATTGTTTTCTTTTCGTTTGTTTCGATCTGTTTTTCAGAAGTGAGATCTGCAATAAAAAATTCTTATATAGGTTTCTTTCTAAACCGAGTTTCTCACTTGTACAATAGCTTACTGGTTGAAAATAATACAAAGTTCATCAACACAGATTAGTCAATTTTCATTAAAAATAACATTGTTGTGTTTGCATAACTGGTATCAATGTATTTTAACATAACAAAAATTACCATTACCAAGTGAGAAGTAAGACATTCAGTCTTCCTCTGTTTGGGTATTGTAATAAGTTATCTGCCTAGAATTGACAGCTTTCTTCAGTGCTCGTCTCCTAGCAGAATAAGCTGCCATCTTTAGCAATCGTACCCGCCTTTTTTCTTCTGTTTCATTAGCAATTCTTTTAGCACTGTATATTATTTCGTATTTTTAAGAAATGGCCAGGCCCAAGCCAGCCCTATTGTTGTGTTGGACACCCGTTCAAGTATGAGTTGGATGGCACGGCATAGTATGGGCGCCTAAGCGCCTAATACAGTCAGGGATTTAGATCATTCATTATATTTGTCAATAATTATATAATACCTTTATAAATATACTTCAATCCTTATGACCGGAGGTGGGTACAGCTGTAATAATAACTATGAATTCTTGCTAAACACAAAAACTCACATTAAGTAAATAAAATAAAAGTAGCAAGTAGGATATGAAATAACGGTGGTTCTTATTTTACCCGTTTTTTTATGGCAGAAATACATGGGACTAAGCCGTTAAAATAAGAAAAAAGTTGCGCCAAAGACTCGCTCAAGCTGAGTTGTCAAAAAGTTGGCAATTGGCATTTCATCTGTCCATCTGTTTTATTTTCTTCTACATCATATATAGTTATTTACTTTTCTATACCAGTTGGATAATTTGAAGATAACTTGACTGTAGTTATAATGTAAGTGTATTCAATTTCTCCAAGCAGTAATATTTTGGCCATACTACATGTATTTAGTGAAATATTGTGTTAAAAAATATTATTTGCAAAAGACCTGGGAATTTACGGGAATTGAGATTTTTACAGTGTAGTATTATTGTCGTGATACAAAAAGTAAATTTTTCATTTTAGCGAAACTTCTATAGAGCTGTGCCGTTTAATGTTTTTAGTAACATAATGGTGTGAATCTTCGTCTACAAGTGAACAAACAATATAACATAGATATGGATAAAATAATGGATTCGCCCGTGGATGGAAGTCCACTGTCAGAGGCAGAGGGCTTTGCAGAGAGCGAAACTGACTACTCAAGCATTAGGGGAAAGGTGAGTTTTTCTATTTCATCTTAATAAAAATATTCCCGCTCATTTATGCCGCCAAATTTTAAAAGCCGTAACTCGATTAAAATAATTGCATTTGCAAAATAATTATTTATTCTTAAAAATATAAAACTGTATCGTAAAATTGCTTAATGATAAATATTGCACAAGATATGTACCAAAATTTCATAATATATTATATTGTATGATGAAATTTTTCTGCATTATTGTACAACCACATCCATTGTATGCAACACTTATTTTTTTATTTATGTTAGTTTAATCCAAAATCTAAGCCTTATAATGCACATATTCTCACTTGAAGGTAAATTAAATTTCTTTATTGGCCAATATTGTCCTACGGATCAAAAGCCTTTTGTCCAAATTCCCCATCCAGTGATTTTAATGGCAATTATTTCTAAATAAAAATATATTTGTAGATGATACTGGTAAGTCCAACAGCTGATGAATATGACCTGCTAAGGAAGCAACTCCTAGAAAGGATGGAAGCTGGAAATGGAGAAATCATATATGATATTGGACAGGGCGAAGGTAGGTTTAAACAGTTTCCTATGAGATTAACTATATAAGGAAAATACACATAAATTAATTTTCAATATATCGAGATGTGATTCATTTGGATAATTCTCATAAAATCCCAAAATTACCTATCAATAGATTAATGACAAATATTTGAATTAATTCATGTTTTTATTCTCTTAAATTTGTACTACTTATGCTTCTAGAAGTGAAAAATATTGTGGACCCCAAAATAAATCAGTTTTGAACAAATTTATGAATATATTTTAGCCATGATAATGTTCTTTTCAAAAAAAACATCCTAAATTGTTTAGGTTTATTGTAAAACTGCTAGGACAGGAATTTCAAGATTTCGTGAGAATTACCCATTTAATAATGATGCAATGATTTGTTAATAAAGTTTGTGCTTGATGTGAATGTATTATAAAAAGTTTTGAATAAATGTGATTCACTGTCTTACTTTACAATGAATTCTCAAATGTTTACAACCAATTTACAATTTCTAAACAAATATTTTTAAAAAGTCACCCCTAAAGATCTAAAGTAGAGTAAGGAGGGAAAACTTTGTATAGAAAAAAAAATCTTCAATGAAATTACATTAGAAATCACAATAATACATGTTAGTTTACATATAATTATTTATTTTGCAACTTTACACTGGATGATTGAGGACACCATTTGGAAAAAGTAGTCATATTGTGTAAACTTTATTAGATGGCAAAGGTTTGTCGGAGGATGAATACAGTGCGTCTGTTGCAACGCTACAGTCTCTGGTAAGCGGTGAGCGCATCTCCTGCGTGGAACTGCGCCGTTGGGATTGTGGCACCGGCCTCGTAGGACAGTACCTGCTAAGGACTGAGCTGGATCATACCGACTTTATGGAGATACGGTCAGTTTAAGATATCTTAAGGCAGCTAAGCCGCTAATGTAGATACCGTATTGTTTGCAAATGCTATGTATTAAAGTGATAATAACACAAACAGATGTGTTTGACGGATAAACATAAATTTTTGTTGATAAGACTTATGCATATATTTAACAATACTGGTTTATATTATATATAAATAAAATGATACTAATTTTTTTTTTTTTGAAAATCGTAAATATCATGTTCTTATGACCAGTAATTTTTATATTACCAATAACTTGTAATGAATTAAGTTGATTTCGATAAAATATATTTATTTTAAATTTGTAAATATAAGAAATTTGTTACTTAACTTTTTAAACAAGTTTGTTATCAATAAATTATGATGTAAGTATAAAGTTGCACTGATTACTTAATTAAGCAATTACATTGATAATGTTAATAAGTGTCATAGGGTATTTCTTAAAATAAAAAAATAGCCACTGCATTTGTATTCTATTCTCATTATAATTACACTTTCTTAATATCTTCAAATATTTAGCAGAAATATTTCATTCGCAGACAATATCATCTAATAGTCTTGGTGGGTCTGCGAACTTTCATAAAATAATTGTTAGGAACTCTCCAGGGTAGCGGTTGTGGGTAACGTAGACGCGGGCAAGTCAACACTGCTGGGTGTCCTGACGCACGGCGAGCTGGACAATGGGCGAGGACACGCGCGTCAGCGACTCTTCCGGCACAAGCACGAACTGGAGAGCGGGAGGACCAGCTCCGTCGGAAATGACATCCTCGGCTTCGACAGCATGGGTACATTTGACATATCTAAGTATGGTGAAGGAAAACTTCATGATGTCTGCACATATATGTGAACATATTCAAAATGTATGTGTGAAGTCGACCCACACTGGGCCACACTAGTTAACCTAGTAACTTTTACTTAGTTTAGGCTCGGAGCCTCTCAGTGAGGTATAGTGAGCTGATGATGATATCCATGTTCACTTTCGACCTAGATATTCACTGTAGCGTATGCATAAATGTAGTGTTGTTTGTCTCGAAAGTACACGCCATAAGTACATTCCGGAGAGAGGGGACGTCCGTCGATGTCAGACCTTTGGACCGGCAACACGTATCGGTACGCGAACGAGCCGAATATAACGCAACGAATGCTATATTCACCATGTCCATTGCGTTATTACACTGTGCTGCTTTAACCTTAATCAAATTATCGGTCAATCTATTGGAAAGTATTCTCGATGTTTAATGGTTGAATTTTGCTTCGACCTTGTGCAGGTAACGTGGTGAACAAGCCAGACCACGGTACCCTGGACTGGGTGAAGATCTGTGAGAAGTCCTCCAAGGTGATAACGTTCATCGACTTGGCGGGACACGAGCGATACCTCAAGACAACCGTCTTCGGCATGACCGGACACGCGCCGGATTTCGGCATGCTTATGGTACATTATTTATAAGTGATTTGAAATAAATTTGTGTATAATTTTAAGCAGGGTTTTAGATATTTTTAGAATCCTGCTCGAAGGACCATTTATGTTAATTAGAATGATTTTGTAAAATGAACGATGTATAACTGTTAGATTGGAGCTAACGCGGGTATAGTTGGCATGACGAAGGAGCACCTCGGACTGGCGCTGGCGCTGTCCGTGCCCGTGTTCGTCGTCGTCACCAAGATAGACATGTGCCCGCCCAATGTGCTGCAGGTACGTTATATACATCACACATATGTAAATATGACAAACAACAATATATTAGCAATATTTCAATGTACATAACAAAATAATCTCAGTGTTTAATCTTTTGATAAATCTTACAAAATACAATAAAATACTATAAATCTGTTAAATACAAGCATTAAATATCATCTTTGAGTAAAAAAAACTATTTAAATGTCAATTACTTAATTTTTTTCTGGTAATAAAAAAGACCGTGAATATTTTAAAAAATGTCTTGAGTTATATGACGTTCAATAGTAATAAATACTGTGTTGGTTTAACAGGATAACTTGAAGATGCTGATCAGGATTCTAAAGTCATCTGGATGCAGGAAGGTGCCCGTCATGGTGAAGACGAAGGATGACGTCATCGTTAGCGCCACCAACTTTGTATCGCAGAGGTAATATTCAAAGTGTTCTATTCAAGTTTCATTTATTTACAAAAGTAAAATTGAACCCATCCACGAGAATATTGGGTTTCAAGTATTTATACCCTTTTTCCACTGGCACGACTAGTCGCGCGATTTAATTTAGACTACTATTTTCTTGTCCCTGCTTCCAACCAATTTTCATTCGCTTATTCGCTCATTTCGTTAGTGTGATATTTAAAAAAATGTCTCCTGTATGCAATTAAAAGTCAACCGACAGACAAGCAAACAGATTTACAGTAATATTCAATATATATTTTTTTATCTTACAAACTGACATATTGATTGAATATATTGTTTGATATATATAAATGTATTGCGTTACTGCAGGTTATGTCCAATATTCCAAGTGTCGAACGTGACAGGCGAGAACCTGCAGCTGCTGACGATGTTCCTCAACCTGCTGAAGACGCGCATGCCGGCGCACGACGACAAGCCCGCAGAGTTCCAGATTGACGACACCTACTCCGTCCCTGTGAGTCTCCGCATTCTTCTATTGCCTTGTATTGTTTTCTTCAACACGATTCTTATAATGTTTCATTTTTATTTATCTATTTAATCAATTATATTGAGGTTTTGAAATACATATATATAAATCTGGGAATATCATATAAATCGCTACGTAGCAACACAATGTTACTTATAGCGGGTGGAGGGTACTAGGCATTGCGCTGATGACCTTGAACATCCAAGATGACTTGGACAAATTGGTGGGGGTTGGAAACATTTAGATTAAGAGCCATGGTTGAGGTTGAGATCCAAGACAAACACGACATTCAGGAATGAATTATTCAAAGATCATCATATATGAAAGATTACCTGTTAAATGAACGTCAGGGTGTGGGCACGGTGGTGTCGGGCACGACGCTGGCGGGCACTATCCGGCTGAACGACACGCTGCTGCTGGGTCCGGACGCGCTGGGCCGCTTCGCGCCGGTCGCGGTGCGCGGCATACACCGCAAGCGCATGCCCGTCCCGGAGGTGCGCGGCGGACAGACCGCCAGCTTCGCACTCAAGAAGGTAACACTCACACACACCCGTAGTCTGCTAGCCCCATCAATAATAACCTAAATTAATTAAAATATCAAACTACGATAATTCGTATAGAGCTAAAAATTGGTAAGAATATCTCGAAAACGATGGCTCGTTTTAATTTTTTTTTTACTTTTTGACTAAACTTACCGTTTGTCCGAAAAACACGTAAACTCATTGTTACCCTTTGACCTTGATTTTTTACAAATGCGGTGTCCATGGGGACTTCATAGATCACATATAAGGATGTACCAAAAACTCCTAAAAATATATAAACATTCCGGGTCATATGTAATTCACAATCAAAAAAATAGTAGATTCATACTCAAAAATGTATCAATACATTGCAAATAAGTAAATATAACCATGAAATTTTACTTCCAAAACACTTGTATTAACATAATATTGACAAAGAAAATGAAAGGGTGACCTATTTCTTATTATTATGCAACTGTATAAATAAATTATAAATAATTCATTTGAATGTAACAGATAAAGCGGTCTCAGATCCGCAAGGGCATGGTGATGGTGTCTCCGGCGCTGAACCCTCAGGCGTGCTGGCAGTTCGAGGGCGAGATCCTCGTGCTGCATCACCCCACCACCATCTCCTCCAGATACCAGGCCATGGGTACATATTGGGCAAAATGTTTTTCGAACCTAACTTTTTTCATCTAAAACTGTGTTAATAGCGAGCTAAAATTATTACAGCAAGAGAAATCCATCTTGTATATGTCACAGACAAATGATAAGTAAAGAAAATGTATGCATGTATGTTTGTGATCAGTGCACTGCGGCAGCATCCGTCAGACTGCATCGATCCTGTCAATGTCGCGCGACTGTCTGCGCACTGGAGACAAGGCGCTTGTGCGCTTCCGCTTCATCAAGCACCCAGAGTACCTCAAGCATGGCCAGCGCATGGTAAACATACTATATTTACACCTTACACTTCTATATACACTGCTCATGTCTTTAATTTAAATATGTTTGGCTCTGAAAAATAAATGAAATATGAAAAATAATACGGTCAAAGTGACCATAAACTCACGACTTTTTTTTTACTAATGTTGACTTTTTATTATTAGTGCGTTTAAAAATGCTGTTATGTGTGTGTGTGATGGTGCAGGTGTTCCGCGAGGGTCGCACGAAAGCTGTGGGCAACGTGCTGCGGCCGGAGCCGGTGTCTGCCAGCCGCGCGCCGCCCGCACGACACAAGCACGACATACATGCACACTCCGCGCAGCGCAGGCACAACGATCACGACGTTAGTACAACGTATACTAGTCTAATACACTCGACGAATTCTATGTGCGACTGACACTTCTTTTTAGTTGGTTATAACATATTGTGTTGTCGAGAATAATTTCTTGGGTAGCAATTAATCTTCCAACCTATCTAATGTTGCCTTATCAGCAATCAAGGAGAGTCAGTCACGGTTACATCTTACTAAATATTATAAATGCGAATTTTTAGATGAATGGATCGATGGATGTTTGAAAGTATCTCCGAAACGACTGGATGGATCTCGCTGGAAATTGGCATAGATGGCATAGATCATAGTCTGGAAGAACACATATTCTAATTGTTAACTTTTTTTTTAATTTGTTACGGACGGAGTCGCGGGCGACAGCTATATAAAAAATGTTGTGTTTACTTCCCACCGACAGCAACAAGATAAGGACACGGACGTGACAGCAGCGGACTCGCCGTTTGAGGTGCAGGCAGACAAGCGCGGGGCGGGCGCAGGTGGCGGCGGGCGGCGGCCACGCAAGCGACACGACAAGCCCGGCCAACCCTCGCACCCCGCCGTGCCCGCCAACTGAACTATCCCCCTCCCCCCCCCACATACCATACCCCCGCCCTCCATGCTAATTAAGCATCGTGAGCCAGACATCGCTGACAACATTCAAAAGTATAACTAGATATGTCTTAACCTTTAAAAATATATCTTTGTCATAAAATATTTTTCTTCTATTTAAAAAAAAATAATAAAAAAAGTATTTCGATCCGCCTGCAAAGTGAAAAATATGTAACAATTTATTTCCAAATTTAAAATACTTAAAGCAAATCTCAGAGGAACAAAAATCTTGAAAATATTTTGTGATTTAAAATTATTTGTCCATTTAACAATGAATTAAAGAGTAGATATTTTTAATAATAACTACTGTACCATAGACAAAATAAATACTCGGAGGCTTGTAATGAATGCCAGCTGAATGTCTGGCGAAGTTGTAAACAAAGTCTGTTGTAAGTACAAGGCCGTAGGTTGCTGTTTAGTTAGTAGGTGTGTGTGGTTGTTACATATTTTTTCGACTTCTAATAAATTATACATATAGGGTATGCACTCATATTTTTATAGTCCAAAATTTTTTCTTTTTTTTTCAATCGGATAGCACCATATTTTATCTAAAAATTAGTGTAATATTTTCTACTTATTTTGTTGCCGTCGGTACATTTTACAGTACGTCATATTTACATACTTAAATCGATAGAAACTTGTCGCTAGTAAATTTAGCTCAAACATTTTATCCGATTTTTATTAAGAGTAAGTCGAAATTTTCAAGTATTTTTGAAATCTTAACAATAAGTTTACAATTTTTATATTTTCAATATAAAATATACCATCAATATTTTTTCTAGCATATCAGTGTGTTGTGAAGAATCTGTTTCGTTTAATTATTATAAAAAAAATATATAATTTACTTTATTCAAAAGAAAAAAATTCTATGTTGACAATAAATAAAAAAGTTTGTATTTTATTCAAGTTTATGAAAAATATATATTGGTTTTGCTTAAAATGTTTTTGGTTTATTGAAGAGTTTTTTTTTTGTTAATAGATTGGATATAATGATTTAATAGAAATTGGCTTGTCTTTATTATATTTGTACATTGTTAAACAACGTCAAAAGCCAATACTGCGTTTAAAAGTGATTACTGATTATTAATTGAGTACAGAATTGTACATTTTAATTTTGTTTCAATAAATGTTTTTTTACAAATTGTTCTTTCGCACATCAAACATGATAATTAATTTCTGCATACTAATCGCCACAATATCATATTAAATGCAACAATAGAATAGTCTGATGAAATCTTCTGTACAGTTGGGAAAATTTCAATGACAGCTGTCATATTCTACTGTCAAGCTGTCAGCCAATCAGATGGCTGTACTATTTTACAGTGGCGTCTTCACTTAACATAACTTCTAGGACTACAAAAACTTATGATATGGTGGTTGCGACTTTACTTCAGTATTTGTTTTTTGTACCATTGTAATGTGATTGTCTAGGTTAAGCGAGAAGTTATTTTAATGACAATTTTCAAATTAAATTAGCTAAAAATATGAGTCTTTTATTTCTTCATCTTATATATAAAATTCTCGTGTCATAATTTTCGTTCCCATACACCTCTGAAACGGCATGACCAATTCTCATGAAATTTTGTGAGCATATTGAGTAGGTCTGAGAATCAGCCAACATCTATTTTTAGTCCCGCATGGACGGAGTCGCGGGCGACAGTAAATATAAACTCTCAACAAATTTTTAGTTTTCACACAGAATGCTACAGTAATATGCCACAAACTAAATATCATGTAAATACTAAACATAACAATGTGTAAAGGAAAATTAATATTGCATTTGTATAATTAAAAAAAAACAATTAAAAATTCATAATTTATTGACTACAATAAAAATCAAAACTGGCCATAATTATTGTCCTATTTCTTTATTTGTTTTTTAGCATCTTCTATTCCTTCTCTTAAATGTTGACTGAATCTTCTGAAAAATGATAACAAAATGTTGACCTTTTGTGGATCCATTTCAGATACCTTTTCTTTACCTCTGTAGAACACTGAGATAGCTAATTGTGCAGCTCTTCTCACTGGATATGAATCAGCAAGCCGTTGCACTAGGCGTTCATTATTGGCTAAATATTTAAGCAAAGCTCGGAGTGGCATTTTATATTATTGATTTGAATGATGTTTCAAATGAGCACATGTTCCTATATTTTTGCAGTAACTCTCGCTTTAGTCGCAGCTGAGTTCTAAGAATTTCAAATTGCTTCAATTGGTCTTGTTTGTTGTAGTCAATACCAGGTAGTCGTTTTATCTGAAAATGGTAAATATTTATGTATTTCATTGTTCAAATTACCTTGTAATTTTTCAAAGCATCAAACATAATTATGATATAATACATACCTGAGATCTTGCAATGTCAAACTTTTTTTGCAATTCCAATACTTTTTGACTGCAGTCCTGGGATTCGCGTGCTTTAGCAGAGTTGTCGTGGAAATCCCGCTCGATACTAAAACATAAAAATTTGGCTGTAAATGTACAGTGACGAGATAAGATATCTAAAAATAAATCTATACAAAAATACCTTCGTATGATTTCGTAAACAATCGGTAAAAAGTCTACGTCTACATCCTGAACGGTAAGAGGGCTAAAGTTATTAGGATCCGAAATTTCCGAGCTGTTCTCCATTAGAGGTACTCAGAATTGTTAAACAAATTTAATGAAAAAGATAAAGGACTTGCCTAGAAAGTTTATAAACGACTCTTTAAAACTCAAATCTTATTTATTTTTATTATATTTTTATGTAGTACAATAAATAACTAAATTAAGAGATATAACAACTTATTTATCGGTTAATGTCACTGTCAAAGTCAAATTCACAGACAACAAAAACCAAAACAGTTTAAAAACAAATAGAAAATTTAAAAAAAAGATTAGGAAAAGCAAATCAAGCCAAGATCAAAATGCATTATTAATTTTGGCGACGGTAAAATAATCTGTTTTGCATTCTGCTTTATTCAAAAAGGTCAAGGAATTCAGAGCTCTGCTCTGTGAAGAAAATAACAACTTCAAGTTTGATTATAAGACCCAACATCTTATAAACCCCTTTATAATTATATAAAAAATATGATTCAAAAAAATTAAACGAAGAATTTAAGTGAAATGAAGTGAATCCAAAGTAATGAACATTTTCCAAATAAGATATGACCTAAAGGTCTATGTTACCAGGTCATAAAATTAAAAAAAAAACAAGTTTGATGCTTGCAGCATATTTTATATACTCTTTGGCTTGCAGTCAGATAATACTTGTCAAATAGATGTAAAACTGCAATCCTATAAATATTAGCAAATATTGGCTACAATTTGATTTTTTAGTATAGTTCAATTAAGTATAAGTTTCCACAATGAATGAAGTTGCAAAATTAGAACATCTCTCTTTAGTTTCTAAAATTTGTACAGAATTGGATAACCATTTAGGACTAAATGACAAAGATCTAGGTGAGTCTCATTACTTACTATCAAAATCAATGTTATCATATATATTACCCAGTTAAAATAGTTTTCATTGAGTTAAACTACTTTTTGAGGACAGAGATACAATCTCCTAAATCATAATGCATCATGCTTTTTGTAATCCTAGCATTTAAAATTACCCAAAGCATTAGGATATTTTTCAACTTAATGTATACATTAAAGAATGTTTATGCTATGCTTATTCCGCATGAGTTCTACGTAATTTAGTTTTACACAAATCCAACTCTATAGTGGGCAATATGTATGTACATAATACATTTATCAGGTTATAATAAGGTCACAAGAATAAATAGTTTCATTTGATATTACCTTAGTACTTCTGTGTTGTTAACAAATCAAATTACATAGTAAATTTTATGATTTTTTGCTTTTCAGCTGAATTTATCATTGACTTGGCAGAGAAAAATCCAACATTTGATGATTTTAAGATATCTCTCATTAAGAATGGGGCTGAATTTTCAGATTCATTTATGACAAATTTGCTTCGCATTATACAGCATATGAAGCCAGCCAGTTTGTCAGATGAAAATATAAAAAATATATCAGGTTCTAAAACACTGGCTTCTAAGTTTCCTGGATTAGCAATTCCTAATGAGAAACCGCCGGTATTTTCATCAGATGAGAGTAGTGATGAAGATGACAAAAAGATAAAAAATGAGAGAATAACGAATAAGGATTTATTTAAAGAAGAAGTAAAAGTAAAAGAATCTAGTGGTAATGTGATAGACCAAGCCATGGCAGAATTAGAAGCATTAGCGCCTTCTAATTTAAATCTCAAGAAAGAAGAAAAGAAAGATCTCATCAAGGACCACACTGACAGTAAAGTCAAAAGGGACAGATCTCGTGAGAGAAATAGAAAACGTAGTAGAAGTAGGGACAGAAGAAGTAAAACTCCTGATCGTAGGAATAGAAGTAGAGACCGTGATAAAGACAGAAGAAGACGGTCCAGAAGTCGTCATCGTCGAAGGTCAAGGTCTCGGGACAGGAATAGGAGATCAAGGTCCAGAGGTAGGAGGTCAAGATCCCGAGGAAGAAGATCAAAGTCCAGAGGTAAAAGATCCAAATCTAGGTCTCATTCACGTGAGAGACACAGAGAAGATAATTATAGGTTAAGAGACTTTGAAAGAAGAAAAAAGAAAAGTCCTGAAGTTGAAATGAGTGATGATCCCGAACCAGGAAAGGTATATTTCATTTTATGTTTTTACATCAATTAAATTTATGGTTTATAGTTGTTAATAAAATGCAGAGTGAATATGTATTCTAAAATGTATTATATTTTTTAAGATATATAACGGGAGAGTGGCAAATATAGTTCCATTTGGTTGTTTTGTACAAATGGAAGGTTTGAGAAAGAGATGGGAGGGCTTGGTGCACATCTCACAGTTACGTGCTGAGGGCAGAGTTACCAATGTCTCTGATGTTGTTTCCAGGGGTGATAAAGTTAAGGTAAATTTATCATACTTTTTTTTAATTCTTAATAAAATATCAATGCAAGTTGACTTACAAAGGACTCATAGACATAACTGTTTATCTTTTTAGTAGTAGCTTTTTGATTATTATATTATCTCTTTTCAGGTGAAAGTGCTGTCAATAACTGGCCAAAAAGTGTCACTAACTATTAAGGATGTATGTCAAGAAACTGGAAAAGATCTGAATCCGACATCACATGCACATTTGGAGGTGATTCTTTTACTTAGGCTATTGATGCTCTGTATACTTAATTTTTTTTTTAATAATTTAGTATTTTGTAAATAAGTAAGTATAGTGTTAAAAGGTGCAATTTACCTTTAACGATAATTAAAATATTGCAGGCAGAACGAGAGGGGCGGAACCCCGACAGGCCAGCCCCTGCTGCTACAGTACTGGCAGGGCTGCAAGGTAATCTGGATCCAGATGAAGATTCCAGCCGTAAGCGTGTGACAAGAATCTCTAGTCCTGAACGATGGGAGATCAAACAGGTAACATACTTAAATTTTTAAATATTTTGTCATTAAATTTATAAATTTGTAATGTTTTATAATTGTTTTCAAATTCTAGATGATATCATCTGGTGTAATCGATAAAAGCGAATTACCTGACTTTGATGAGGAAACAGGTCTGCTACCAAAAGACGAAGACGGAGAAGCTGATATAGAAATAGAGTTAGTGGAAGAGGAACCTCCATTCTTACAAGGTCATGGTCGTGCACTTCACGACTTGTCGCCAGTTAGGATAGTCAAGAACCCTGACGGCTCACTGGCACAGGCCGCAATGATGCAGTCCGCTCTAGCAAAAGAGAGAAGAGAACAGAAGATGTTGCAAAGAGAACAAGAAATGGAAAGTTTACCAACTGGGCTCAATAAAAACTGGATAGATCCACTGCCGGAGGCTGATGGGCGAGCCCTGGCAGCGAATATGAGAGGTTCAGGAATAACTCCACAGGATCTACCCGAGTGGAAGAAACATGTTATTGGCGGGAAAAAGTCGTCTTTTGGCAAAAAGACTAATCTATCACTATTGGAACAGAGACAATCGTTACCTATTTACAAGTTGAAGGATGAATTAATCAAAGTAAGATTTTTTCCATTAATTCACTACTATTATTTAATAACCTTAAACAGATTTTTTGTGGTTGACCAAACTTTTGACCATATAATGTTATTTAAAACTTGGTCCATATAAAGATGAAATTGTTTTTTTTTCTCAGGCGGTAGCAGACAACCAGATCTTGATAGTGATCGGCGAGACAGGTTCAGGTAAGACGACGCAGATGACGCAGTACGTGGCGGCGTGCGGGCTGGCGGCGCGCGGCAAGGTGGCGTGCACGCAGCCGCGTCGTGTCGCCGCCATGTCTGTCGCCAAACGCGTCGCCGAGGAGTTCGGCTGTCGGCTCGGGCAGGAAGTCGGATATACCATACGATTTGAAGATTGTACCAGTCCTGAGACAATTATTAAGTAAGTATTGTTTAGGTCATAAACGGTGTCTAGAAATTTCATTTTTATAGTTCAAAGTCCCTAAATATATGTTTCTTTAAAATATACGAGTTTATTGATGTATTTAAGATGTTTAGACCTAGATCTGTAATTTAAATATTACATTACAGGTACATGACAGACGGTATGTTGCTCCGAGAGTGTCTGATGGATTTAGACCTGAAGAGTTACTCAGTGATTATGCTGGACGAGGCTCACGAGCGGACCATTCACACCGACGTCCTGTTCGGTCTGCTCAAGCAAGCGGTGCAGAAGAGACCTGAGTTAAAACTCATTGTCACCTCAGCCACATTGGATGCTGTCAAATTCTCACAATATTTCTTTGAAGCGCCCATCTTTACAATACCCGGAAGAACGTTCCCAGTCGAAGTTCTGTACACTAAAGAACCAGAGACTGATTACTTGGATGCATCACTAATAACAGTCATGCAAATTCATTTAAGAGAACCTCCAGGAGATATTCTGTTGTTCTTGACGGGTCAAGAAGAAATTGACACAGCTTGTGAGATTTTGTACGAACGCATGAAGTCATTAGGTCCTGATGTACCAGAACTGATCATCTTACCAGTTTATTCAGCGCTACCTTCAGAAATGCAGACAAGAATATTCGAACCAGCACCTCCAGGCTCTAGGAAGGTGGTCATAGCCACCAACATAGCTGAAACATCACTGACTATTGACGGCATATACTATGTGGTGGACCCTGGATTTGTGAAGCAGAAGGTGTACAACTCGAAGACGGGAATGGACTCTTTGGTGGTCACACCAATTTCACAGGTATTTATTTTTTTGAATAACCCACCATATTTACTTTGAATTGTAATTTAGAAGCAATTTCGTAGTAAAAAAATAGCATCCTTAACTCTTCTAGAAGGAAAAAAATATAATTCATTAACCAATGTTTGTAGCTTACTACTTATAAGGAAGCTATTTTTTTTTTTCTAAATTAATCAATCTAGGTAGCTGTCGGCGTGTTTATAAAATGTTTTTGTTATCAGGCAGCGGCGAAGCAGCGCGCGGGTCGTGCGGGGCGCACCGGCCCCGGCAAGTGCTACAGGCTGTACACGGAGCGCGCCTACCGGGACGAGATGTTGCCCACACCCGTACCAGAGATACAGCGTACCAACCTCGCCACCACCGTAAGTATACCAAACTACACCAAGAACTACAAATTAGAGACGAAAAAATAGGACTTGTGGGCTCTTCAATGCTCTATCGACACCCATATCGACCTGACCTGATTTTCAGTTTTAAGTGTGCAGTCATGTTTGTTCATTTTTCTGTATTTAAAAATATGTCTTTACGTAAATTTGTATTAAATTAGGTCCACATAAAATACGGTCTAACCATATAGTGGTAGAAAATCGAACCCGTAAAATTACTTTAGGTGCACTTCATCTAATTTTGTGTATCATCTGCAGGTGCTACAGCTGAAGACAATGGGTATAAACGATCTGCTGCACTTCGACTTCATGGACGCGCCGCCCGTAGAGTCCCTTATCATGGCACTGGAGCAGCTGCACTCGCTCTCCGCACTCGACTCCGAGGGATTACTCACCAGGCTTGGCCGGAGGGTAAATTAAATAGACAGTCCAGTTTTATATTTCAAGACACTTTTTTGACATATGTTATGGTCTCACTATTCTCCAGACATGTGTTCTTTCAGGCAGTGTTCTACATCTATACCAAATGTCAATCAGATCTGTGCAGCCGTTTTGGAGAAACCTTCTAACAAGGACCCATCTATCCATCTAGTCATTCGCTTTTATAATATTAGTGAGAAATGAAGGAAATGACAAAGGTTAAAGTTGTCACGTTGTTGTGAAGTTGGCAGATTAAAATATTTATTATCATAACATTTTCAGATGGCCGAATTCCCCTTAGAGCCGAACCTATCGAAAATTCTCATCATGTCGGTAGCACTGCAATGTTCAGACGAGATCTTAACAATCGTATCAATGCTGAGCGTCCAGAACGTATTCTACCGGCCCAAAGACAAGCAGGCGCTGGCTGACCAGAAGAAGGCCAAGTTCAACCAGCCAGAAGGCGACCACCTGACCCTCCTCGCGGTCTACAACAGCTGGAGGAACAACAAGTTCTCCAATGCATGGTGCTACGAGAACTTCGTTCAGATAAGGACATTGAAGCGAGCGCAGGATGTCAGAAAACAGTTGCTGGGCATCATGGACAGGTTAGTGGTTAATAAGAGGCAGCAAATTATTAAAAAAAGACAAGAAACTAGGCTAAAGTACCAGAAATCTGTGCGCCTAGGAATCTGTATCTTCTGTACGAAATTCCTCACCAAAATATAACATTACTCTTTTTGCTTATTGTTAATAGTTTCAAATCAATGCTTTCTATTTTTTGTTACAGACACAAGCTAGATGTGGTGTCGGCAGGGAAGAACACAGTACGCATTCAGAAGACCATTTGCTCAGGGTTCTTCCGGAACGCCGCCAAGAAAGACCCGCAGGAGGGTTACAGGACTCTTGTTGACAGTCAAGTTGTCTACATCCACCCTTCAAGTGCACTATTCAACAGACAACCTGAATGGTATGATGTGATTAACGTTGACTATGTAATTTGAAATTTTATATTTTGCTGTGTATTAATATTATTTTTAATTACAGGGTAATTTACCATGAATTGGTTCAAACAACGAAAGAGTACATGCGTGAAGTGACAACGATAGATCCGAAGTGGCTTGTCGAGTTTGCTCCGGCCTTCTTCAAATTCTCCGACCCGACCAAACTTTCCAAGTTCAAGAAGAACCAGAGACTTGAACCTCTTTACAACAAGTACGAAGAACCCAACGCCTGGAGAATATCAAGAGTCAGAAGAAGAAGGAATTAAATTATCTACTCGTTTTATGTGAATGAATGAAATGTTAAAGAAAATAAAAATATGGGAAATAATAGTAATACTTTTTTATATTTACATGTTTTCTATTTTCGATCCTTTTGATGAGTACGTCAGTTACAAAAAGTACTAACGGCTTCACGGTGTGTTTACAACATCACCTAGCGCGTAGGGGAAATTGAAATCTAAACTAAAGTAGATCTACGAGAAACCTATGGTAGAATCGAGACAAATAGAAATCTATCTTTGCTTGTCCCTCTTGGTTACGTTTAATGTTAATTTTTATTTTCAATGCAATTTTTCGACGCAACAGTAAATGTCATTGTCATTTTGACAGGATGTCATCTGTCAAAGTTTAAAAAAAAAACTTTGGGGATATTTGCATCTATTTTTGGATGAAAAATTAGAAATAATTATGAGTTTTAGTGAATTTTTCAGTGGTTAGATGAATAAAATTTGAGTCCAAAAATGGATTTCTTTTCTGAAATTATAGGGGAAACTGTCGTTCTTGGAATAGATTCTCTTATTTTAGGATTTTGTGTTAAACAGCTGAGTAAATGTAAACATATCTTAAATGCCTTGCAGGTTACTTTTTATTTTTCTTGTAGTATAATTTTGAATTTAATTTATTAATTTTACCTTTGTATCAATAGTATTTAAAGTAACCATCACATTGTGTCCATTTATTTAATAAAAAATATAAAAGATGATTATAAGGTCATGTAGCAAAGTTTTCTCCCACTTGATGTTATAATTAAATAAAAGAATTATCTCTTTACATTTAACACTCTACTTTTATCTAATGGTAAATTGATATCTTAATTATTTTCATTCCAGACAGCACCAATACTTGATATTGACTCAACATTAAATACAGAGATTAACAAATACTCTGACCATGTGATACCATATGTTGTTATCAGAGGGTTGGTGAAGCCCCTCGGCAATCCAATAGTTAGCAATTACAATAATACTGTTACTGGTGTTATACAGAGGTAATGAAATCTTACTAAAATTATAAATGCGAAAGTTTAGATGAATAGATGTTTCTTAGAAGATAACTTCAGAATAGTTGAATGGATCTAGATAAAATTTGCGAGAGATAGTTTACTTTCTAGAATAGCTCATAGGCTACTACTAAGTCTTTATTTTAATTCGTCACAGAGAGTAGATATAATTTTATTTAAATTATTGCTTTCCATAAATTTAAATCCATTATAGGCTTTGATATATTCTTAAATCCGTATATAAAATGTTATCAAAGTTTTATAAAAATTATGAATTTTAAAAGGTTAACAATAAAGGAGCATGTTATTGCAAGAACATCAGCTGGATTTTGGTCTGACCAGACACGCACCATACATGAAGTATGCAATGCAACACCATTTGTGCTCAATAATGGAAAGTACAGTATTGAAGTTGTGGATGCCCTGGCCGCAGAGTTGTTGGGTATGTAGAAAAAACAGGTTTAGGCTACTGGTGATTCTTCAAGAATATTATGAAATGCCTCTTATATAAATCTTGAGTAATCTATCAATATATGCTATATTGATAGATTACTCAAGGTTTATAAGTAATAGCTATAGCCACTTTAAACATAAGATTTTATTTCACTAGTGTTTGGATACTTAAACTAAACTAGATACTATTATTATTAGATCTTGACGTTATATCTGACAAGTTCGAACCCATGTCTCCTGGTGTTATTGACCACGTATGGGGTTTCTTCTCTGGTGTCCGGCAACGTGGCCTCCAGACAATGGAGGAGATGCTACGCGATGGCTCCTACATCACTGCAATTGGGGAGCTCAGCAGGACAAACACTGGTGCTTTGAAGATACAACCACCTAGAGACGGATTACCTCTCTACCTAACTACAGCTACTAAGTCTAGCTTATTGAAAAGGCTCGCCAGTTCTAGAGATTTCTTAAGGTAAATGTAATATTTAAATTAGGAACGTAATTTTTTTTAAGTTAGTGAAGATATGTTTTTTCAAGGCACAATATTCCTTATTGACTACAGTTATTAAACTGTCGACGCCCGCCAATCAATCGAATGAATTCGCGTCGCCTTTAATTGTTTTGAGTCCCAGTTTCGCGACATGTTTATTACGACTGTGTGAGTTGTATATACTCTATGCTATGTCTGTACTGCTAAGTTTTGTTATTTTTATAATATTTTGCAATAATAGTAATAAAAAAGGTGACCAAAATTTTGCCAAATCTGCAGATGCAGTTGTTAAAAGACTGACTATGTTTGTGGTGTAAATTTAAATTTTGACAATGATTTCAGAATACTGCTGGTAGTATTTGGGGCGGTGGCCGTGTTGGCGTCGGGGCGTGTGGCGTACAAGTACTTGAAGCGTCGCAAGCGGCGGCAGCTGGAGGATTCTCTTAAGCGGCAGCTCGCAGCCGGCCGCAAGGAGCGCCGCGCACACGCTCGCGAGAAGAACCTCACAGATGTGCAACTGTGTGTGGTCTGCTCGGAGAATCCTAAAGAGGTCAGTTTAGATGCTACATATTGTATTCTGTTGTCAGGTTTGAAAATGTGACGAAAAACTTTATAGCGATTAATTTCCATATTTATAGCCGTAATTTATTGCTAAAATCTATTATCTTACCTTTAATCTTTTTTTACTTATCCTTTTTACACTGAATCTATTACCTAATGTGCCATTCATTACTGTGAATAATAGACAATTATTTATTATGCATAACATTTTTTTCTTTTTATCTTATTGAAATGTTTGATTCCAGATAATATTACTGCCCTGTGGCCATGTGTGTCTCTGTGAAGATTGTTCAGAGAACATTAAAGACAACTGCCCCATTTGCAGAGAACGGATAGAGGCCCGTGCACCTGCCTTTATCACATAAATACTGTATAACAAGATGTTGTAATAAATCTAATATTAGCTAAACTATTGTTATAGTTATATTAAATGTTGTTAATGAAATTAGACAGCTAAAATAGATAGAGCAAAATTTAAGTTTAAAAAAGTACAGTTTTATCTATAGGGGTTAACCATGTTGAAGAATCAATGAAAAAATATTTTAACAAAAAAATGTGTTATTATTTACAAATGTACATCTTAATTTGTAATACATATTATATATGTATTTCATTCTATATTATTATTATTTCATAGTATTATTTCATGTCATTCTTTTATCAAAAACCTATCAATGATCCTGTTTTACCACAAGACGCTGAACATGTGTCATCTTCCTGCTCTATGTTGACATCCTCATTGTCAGAAATATCAAAATCTTCATCCAAATTGCCAGTATTAGTACCATTGGTACTAATTTTCTTATCCAGTACATCATTAATAGCATATTTAGCTAATAAATTATCAACTTTAGTGTTATCAACACTAACTTTGGTTCTTTCGCAATTTCCTAAACATTTATTTTTGCAATCTTTCTTAGTTTCTGTGTTTTCATTATTTATAAAACCATTTCTCTTATCCTTACACAAACCAGATTTACATTTTTGATTTGATTGACAATTATTTTCTGTGTTTTCATCATCTAGTTCTTTTGCTGCATTCTTTAATAAGTTTTGTTCCTGTTTTGCATTATATTCATCAAGCATTCTTTTTGCTTTAGAACTTTTACCGATACCAAGTTTTGGTAAACCTTTATTTAAGCCTTCGAGTAGAACACAGGCTTTACAAACTTCTTGTGATGATACAAATTTACACCTTGTGCATATTCTCTGTGTTGGTAGAGTCACGTCTTCTTTCACAGCCATTGTCTCACCTTGAAGTTAAAGATTTCATTAATTTAAAACTCTACAGAACCTTATAATAAGTGGGTAATATATTTTGAAATGTTTTGAATGAAAATAAATGATTTCAGAACTGCAGTAAGTTATTACAGACATGAATTATCAGTTTATATATGTCGCCACTGAGGTGCTCAGCCTTGCCACACACCTTATAACTAGCTGTCGCCCGTGACTCTACGTGGAATTAAGAAAACATAATTAGTAGCTTATGTGTTCTTCCAAACTATGTTTTACATCTGTGCCAAATTTCATAAAAATCCATTGAGCAGTTCTGGAGATACATACCAACAAACATCCATCTAAATTTTTGCATTTATAGTTTTAGGAAGAAGTAAGAATAAATTTAAAAGTATTAGTGATTATCCTAGATTTACCTGAGTATATTATATCCATGATACAAGTGGGGCGTATCTTTTCCATATCTTTAAGAAGTGCTCGTGCATGCCCTCTGTATGCGTTTGGTGCAAAAACACATTCCGTAGAGAAATATACCAGTTTCTTATAATGTGCATACATTACTATCTCCTTTTCATATGTGTATTTAAGTGGCTTTACTCTTGGTATAGTTCCTTCGCTACCCTGAAAATGTTATAATAGTTAATTCATTTAGTATAGTGAATTTATACAATTCCACTGAACAATGCTACTAGCATCATATGTATAAAAATGAATTTATGAACATTCTAATTTTATTAATTGTCATACATATTCTTATCTCTGCTTTGTAAAAGAGATATACCTACAGTACTAACAGCAGTACATCTTTTTAGCCGAGCAATATCACCTCTCAACACATTCATTAGCACAGTTTCTGCTATATCATCCGCATTATGTCCTGTAGCTATGCACTTCACCCCCAGCAAAGCAGCTCCTCTATCCAATGCTTGTCTTCTAAACACTCCACAGAAGGTACAATTGTTCTTCCTACCAATCTGTGCGACAATTTCGTCCATAGTCCAACCATAGAGATCCTTATATGATAAGATTTTTAAAGACATCTCGTAGTCATCGCGGTTTCGTTTGACGGTTTCGAGACTGTCATCTCTGTATCCAGTTATACCTTCATCTATTGACAGTAGCATTAAATTCAAACCATAGTCGTAGCGTTCATTAAGTGTTTTTAAGACGTGTGCAAGGACTGTGGAATCTTTGCCTCCAGATGCCGCAACGGCCACGGAGTCGCCACGCTTAAATAATTCAGCTTTTGTTATTGTAAAGTGGATTTCAGTTTCAAATGCCCAGAAGAAGCACTCTTTGCACAGCGCGTCACCGGTTTTTGGACGCTAAAATAATTCAATAAATATTATTGGTGTAATAGTTTAAAGAAACACTATTCACAAGTTCACACCTTGAGGAAACTTACCTTTAGCATCGCATTTTTACCACAACCTGTTCTACACGGTATAGGCATTTTAATTTAACTTTTGTAAAATTCGTCTTTAACCTTATGATTTTTACTTAAAATTATCATTGATTATAAATTAATAAGTTGCCTAACTTCATGAAAAATATAACCTCATCTCCATATAAAGCAAAAATTATGTGTCAAAAATGTGTCATTTTGCAAGGTGGTTGTTTTTGACGTTTATGTCGACTATGCTTTTCGTTTGATGGCTAAAACTACTTGTAACAATCAGCTACATTTTATTTAAATCGCAAATACAATTTCATGTTAAATTAACACAAGTATAAACTATGTAATTTTGTAAATTAAAGTAATCAGGTGTTTTCCTTTTGCTTTAAGCAGCTGTAATGTGGTAATTCTTAATTTAATTTTCATTTAAAATAAATGTGTCAATTCCAATATACGCAAACATTTTTTTGCCGAACGAATGAGTAGAAAGTTCATTGACTGATTGACATTTTGTACTAGTCAAGTCAACCAATCCCTATCAAATCAAATCCGGGACAGAACTTCGCTTTTGTGAGATATATACTTTACGTTTTACTATTACTTATTATATTACTTAAATAAGGAAGCATAGCAAAAATGTAAAAAGAGTAATGTGCAACTTTGTTTCTTAGACAATGGGTAAATCAAGTTCTCCGTAGGTGGCAAGTTATGTTGATGTTGATGTGTCCATTACGAGTGTTTATTTCTCGAAGGCTGCTTCGGTTTCTCTGAGGCTTTCCAGTTTGTGCGCAGTGACAAAATGCATGAATTGCTTAAGCACGTACTAAACGAGCGAGACTTGACTCGTGCCGGCGATCTATTTGCCATCCCGGATTCGGAAATCGTCGACGATTTAAATGAAGTTGTAAGTGTTGTATTTTACCTTTATATCATTGTGTTAATGTTCTTCTTAAGTTCTGTAGTATTTCAAAGGCAACTTTACAATTCAGCCTAATTTTAAGACGTTTTATTGCACAAAAGTATAGGTAGAATTATATATTCTTAATTTTCCAGTTAAAACAAATAACAGAAATATCATCAAGACCCGACTACTGTCGCAACGACCGGGATCAGGCACTGATAGAGATATGTGTTACTCGCACAACTTCCTGTATCAAAGAGACTGGGACACTGCCCAAGTACTGTGCGGCTCTGGTGTCATTACTTGAGTCCTGTTTGCATCATAACTTAATGCCGGTGGGTCATCTCAGAGATGATGATCCACCACATGCTAAAATTGCCTCAGATATCATAGCATGTATTGTTCTGGTAAGTGAATTATATTATAAAGAATTTAGCTTATCTAATACCTGCGTTAGGTTTCACACAATATCAGACTAGTTAGTGATGTTTAAGAAAAATATAATTTGTTGTCGTTTTTGCTGTCTCAACGATTGACACTATATGAAATTGTTTAGGTTTCATTTCCGCTACAATCAGACAAGGAAACAAGTGGCAATAAAGAGGTGATGGAACTCTTCCTACCTGTTGCGGTGCAGTTTCTACATAAAGGCAACAGAGAGATATCCCGGCATATGGCTCGCTACTTGTCTCTGGCAGCAGTCCATCATGCTCCATTACTCAAGCCACATGTTCAGACAATTATGGACTCTATTATGTCAGGTAATAACAACTATTATAGTGTATACTGAATTTTAGACTTTTGTATTTGACACAAACTACAGCTTTACTCTAGTAGCAGAATATATAATGTTGTACTAACCTATCTTTTTGTACCAATCATAAGTTATATAAATCACAAAATAACTGTAATATATCATAGAAATATTACGTAAAAAACTGAATAGTTGATAACTTTATGAAAAATGTTATTTAAATGAATGAATATGAATATTTAAATTTATAGCGTTTTAGAATGGTAATAAAATAAAGATTTATATTTTTCTTTCAGGAAACTACCCACTGTGTCGTATATTAACAAACTTGTACGAAGTATGCCCAGAGCCATTGGAAGGACATGTCACCGCACTAGTTTCACTTTTGCCTCATGCAGAACAGGTTAGACTAATATCTAATCAAATGTATCAAAAAGCCACTAATTTCAAACATACTGTAGGCTTACACATCTTTTTTGTTGACATCTAATTCCAGTTGTTAACTATTTTAAACTGTAGGTGGAGAAGAATTCCCTATTTGCGCTATTTGAGCAGATAGCTGTGCGTCGTCCTGAAGCGCTGAAGACATGTGTGCCACAGCTGCTGTCATACCTGTGTCCACACACTGCCAGCCAGACAGACCCCTCCTGCATGTGTATTGATCTGCTACAGGTAATGTTTAGTTTATTGTCACTGTACATTAAAATTAATATATTAATTTTTTTTTGTAGTTGACATTGTAAAGGAATATTTGATTGTCCGATATTGAAAAGTGGTGGTACTGGTATAACTTACGGAAGAACGCAAACTCAATTATTAAAAAAAATACCCTGTGGTTGATAGAATAGAAAATAAACCAAGCCCTTAAAGTCACACTTAATGTACAAAGGTAGTAAGAGACTATTTGTTTTTAAAGATATAAGACAAAATAGCAGTAATTTCAATATTGTGATTTGATTAAGATGTTTGTATGTTACAGCTGATGGTGTGCCTGAGCCGCAGCCGCGCGTCTCTGGTGTGCGAGCACGGAGCGGCGGTGCGGCGCGCGGCGCGGCCCCCACACGCCACGCCCACCGCCAGCGCACTCGTCGCCACCGTGCTCGCACAGCTCGGACACACCAGCAGGGTGAGATATCTTAACACTGCCTACTGACGCAATCAGACACCTTCATATGACACTAAGGGAGATGCTTAGTGCTAGGAGACTGCCGTAATGAAAAATTAATTTGAGGAAGATTAAGATTTATTTATGTACCAAAAGTTTCTATTTTGGATTCTGAAATAATTTATGATTTTTTCTCTCAATTGAGGTACAATTTTTTTTTTATCAGGAGCGAGCACAGGAGGCGCTCAACTTTGTGGTGGAGCGGCTGTGCGGAGCTGGCGGGGGCGGCGGCGCGGGGGCGGAGCGCGCGGAACAGGCGGCGCTGCTTCGCTCCGCCACCGCACTCTGCTCCGCCTACCCCGCACTCTTCACCGATCGTCTGCTCGCCGCACTGCGCGCAAACAACAAGTATGACATCAATAATGTATACAAGATACAAAAAATATATATATTTCATCATGTTATTGTGTTGAATCTACGTTTTAAAGTCTTTGAAGAGAGAAATAGAAATTTAGATATTGATTTTTGTTTGATTTTTACAGCAGTCGTCCGAAATCAACGATATCGCACAGCGAAGTGAACAGAACGTCTGGGGGCGTGACTATAGTGAAACTGGGAGGTGCAGCAAGCAACAACTCGGGGGCGGTGATACCGACCCCCTCCTCCAACACGAGTGTGACCACGCCCCCTGTCTCGACCGCCACACCCTCAAACCCGCCTGTCACGGGCGGGTACACGAGACGAGCCAAGTTAGGGGATTCTAGAAGCACGGGTCGTTTGCATACCGGACCTAACTCGCATAGAAGTATGACCAGGCTCAATGTCGCCGGTAAGTTAAATATACTTAGTTATTTTGTATTATATTTACATAATTATAAATACATAACATAATGATAAAATGTCGAATGTGGTCGTTTTCATATAGGGATTTTTATGGAATGTATTTTTGCAGGAGGATCAGTGGGTGGCCTGCACAAGAGTATGACGCGACTCTCTTCCTCGCAGCAAATAAATCTCATCAACGCAAACCAGCCCGCAGCCGGTGAGTTATATACTTTATATAATATTTATATACTATTTTTATTTAATTCAGGCAATTATTGATTTATTTTTTTCCTGAAGGGGAATATGTGAAGTTTTTTAATTGTGTGCAGGTGTAGGCAAGGGCAGCAGCGGGGGCGTGGCGGTGCCGGGCTCGCCGCCGCGCGCTCCTCGCCAGCCCGCCCGCCATCATCACCACAACATACTCATAGGACCCTCCACCTCCACGGTATGTATACAAGCTTTACTCAAGTTTTACCTCGTGTTCTCTAACTATATGTGCAACGTTTTGCACACTTGCGAAATATTTGTATTAAATTAATCTTGGAGTAATATGTTTTGTTTTTTGAACATTTTGGCTCATTTTCACGTCCAATGTATCAATAATTTTCAGAGCACGGGCCCGACTATAATATCGGGGCCGCCTCTCCAAACACAATCTATATCCGTCAATCCCCTGACGACGGGCAAGTCGACGGACGGTCTGACGCCGCTCACCTCCTCCGTCTCTATACAACATTCCAATTCAGCACTGGGACAAATATCCGTCATATCCTCCACACAACCTTTACCAAACAACGGGTCTGCGCCGCCCGCCGGCAACCCGGTGTCCATCTCCGGCCCGGTCACTGTGACGTCACGGCGCGCCAACAACACCAGCGTCACCATGATCAACTCCAGCTCGAGCGCGAACAGCGCCGCGAACGCGAACACGAACGCCAACCACCGCATCAGCGTGTTCGAGCCGTACCCGATGCGCGACACCGTGCAGCACTTCTGCGAGAAGCACCTCGACAAGATCAAGGCGTACATGGACAACGTGTCGCTCCGACTGCCGCCGCCCGCCAAGTGCACCATCGAAGGTCAGCATTATTAAATTCAAAATTATGAAGTTACTTCCTAATCTGTGGTCAACAAAAGTATTTAAGATAAGTAATAAATTTCCAGAGCGGCGTTCGAAGAAGCAGGCGCGGCTGCAGTTCGCGTGCGGGCGACGCGGGCCGCACTGCCTGTACGCGCGTGCCGCGTTCTCGATGCGCACGCGAGCGCCGCGCGTCTGGATACACCTGATGTTCCTGGCGCTGCAGGCGCGCCACGCCGCCGCGCTCTCCTCGCGCGACCCCACCGTCGCCAGCCTCAAGCACTGCTGGGACATCCTCAAGTGCGAGAACAAGACCTTCCTCACGCTGGTCACCGGCGCCTTCCCCGCCGCCAAGGAGCAGGAGATGCTGGTGGCCGAGCTGCGCGCCGCAGGCTTCTTCGACGTGTTCGAGCTGAGCGGCGCCCCGCCCGCGCCCACCGCGCCCACGCACGCCACCTGGGGCTGCTTCCTCTGCACGCGGCCCGAGCGCGCAGTCGGCTTCCTCGCCGCGGAGACGCCCGTCATCGAGGGTCAGCTCAAGGAGAAGAAGGGTCGCTGGCGGCTCTTCCGTCGCTGGCGCACCAGGTACTTCACCCTCTCCGGACATCACCTCTCCTGCAAGGGCGCCGTGAGTATATTTCTTACAATTCTATAAGCTATTTCAGTGTCAGATAATACTAAATTAAATAAATTTGTATACTATTTTAGAGCGGAGGGGAGAGCATAGACATAAATCAGATCCGTTCGGTGAAAGTGTCGCGAGGCGCGCGCAACATACCGAAGGCGTTCGAGATCTTCACAGGCGACCAGACGCTGATCCTGAAGCCGAAGGACGGCAAGAACGCGGAGGAGTGGGCGCAGTGCCTCAGCATCGCCGTGGCGCACTCGCACGCGCGCGACGCTCCCGCCAAAGCCAACAGTCTGCCCGCACGAGGACTCACACTCAAGAGCTTCTGAACACTCTTCTCACATCACTCTTCTACATGTACGTGCTCAATTTATTTATTTATAATTTGTTATTTAATAACATATAAAATACGTATGTCTTCTTTGTTAATGTCAGTGTTATAGAAGCAGACAAATATAGCTCTTATGGTAGTGTTAATAGAGTTGTGTGTTGATGACAATGATACAGTTCAAAATATAGATCATAAGATAAATATAAACAATATATGTACTTAAATAATACTTTACCGCTATTAAAATTAACTGTCGGGTCACGGTTTTCTTATAATTTTGCGATATTTTCATTAACTATCCAAACTGAGATAGTTTTCTGAAATGTTGCCTTTGCAAACTAACAACATCGTCAAATTGAATTAAATCAAATCCGTATTTAAACCTCTATACAAAATACCCAGTCTATACAAAACTTATCTTACTCGAATTTAGTTATATATAATTTTCTATCACTTAACTTGCCAAATTATTTGCCCATTAATAAAACAAATAGTAAAGCCATGTACTTATAGTTATTAACAATACTTTTTACACTTTTTTTTTACTTCCCCATAAGCTAAATCAAAGAATTTATTGCATATAAGATTTAGAATGAAGTAAGAATAGTATAGTTAAAGACAAGTTATTAATTATTTTGTAATAAAAAGTAATGATTAATATATTAAATCATTTAATAATAATTCTATTCATATTTCGATGGCTCCTACGTAGACTATCATAAGTCAAAAATTAACGATTTATTCGTGTTTTATGGTTTTAAAAATAACTTTATAAATACTAATTTCTGTGTAAAAAAAATAAGAAAAATGTTTCGTTTTTATAAGACAAAAGATAGAAGAATTATAGATATAAAATTTAAAGTTTTGTCTTGCAAAGTTTTTTTTAAACATACGATAGTTTACATAGGAACCATTGGCATATGAATAGATATATAAGTTGAGTATATCCAGGATAAGTCAGAATATTTGTATATAATATCATATTATTACTACTGGTATTATTACTAATAATAAGATAATTGAAGTGTAAGCCACCGCGGATTTAATTTTATCCAAAATAAAATTATATTGTTTTTTTTAATGAAATTTAGTCGTTAGTTTTCGTTACTTAAATACTTTGATAAAAATGTATTAACATGTCTTTCGCTATGAAATAGAGGAAACGGTATGATTTGTGAAGTTTTATACCAATTTTTGAATTTACATGCTTCTCTTGTTCCGTCCCATAATCCTACATATAAAGTTTTGATTTTTATAAGCATTCTTTGTAGTTTGTTGAAAGAAGACATACAAAAAGTTGATCTATTTCATTTAGTGTATTATCAGAAAAAATAAGTCTTAAATGCTTTATTTTGTACTAAACTAATATTTCATTTGAAGGGTTGTGGTTTTATATCTTATTTTTTTTTATTTATAACTATTTTAGTCCGTTTTTTCAATAACGCTGCCGCTTTTTATTCATTAATATTTTATGTCTATCTTTTTTAGATCTTTTTAATTATTCTTAGAAATATTTTTTTAAACAAAAAGTTAAATTTGAAACGAAATGCTCATTGTATATTTATGTGATAAACTTTCTATAACATTCCATTTAAACTAAGTCAAACTAGCGTAAACTAATTGGCTGGATTGGATTTTGAAGTAATAGACGAAGAAATTAAAAAGTTTTTATGTTGTTTTTGAACAAAATTAGGCAAAAGAATTTTACACTGCAGCCAATTTTGATTAAAAGAAAACTCGTGTTTATATTAAGCATGAAAGTTCTCATTCTAGTATTTATGGCTTGGTACTTAAATAAAATATGGATTTAGTTTATGGAAACAAAAAAAAATTGCTTTTTGTTTGCATGAATATCTGTACTTAAATATATGTATCATTAAACTTATGTAATTAACGTTTTTAAATGCTTGTCACTTTGATTTACGTACTTAATATATGTTACTGGATTTTAAAGACAGGTTTTTATATATTATGCATAGTTTTAAATTGTTTTACTTATGTGTTTGTATATAATGATATAAGAAATAAGTACAATAAAAAAAGATAGAGGAGAAGCTTACATGTAAATTTTAAGTTTTGTTTACATAAAATTTTAACGACTATCGCGAGTTCAACTTGCATCAGTACTTAAGTGTAAAATTTGAGAATTGAAATTGTATTGCTGTGACTACATTTCATGGGTTTATTAAAAATGACATAATTTTTATTTTACCTAAAGCTCAAAGACTGAATACTGGTCATAGCTGTAATTGCATCGAGATTCATTAAAAAAAAATCCATAGCCTTTAGATTTTTGGCGCCAAATAAAACAATTTCATTAACGACTTTCAAAAATTTATGTTATATTTTGAATGATGTTCTTCACTTTGGAATCAAATCCCAAGTAATACTCGTTATATTTACTCGTCAATTTTTTATTATCCACCAAAAATTACTAAGGGATATAATTAAAAGACCATTATTTTTTTTATGTAATACTAATCTTACATACAGTCAGCGTCATATAGATCGTCACAGACAAGATATGCAAATATATAGGTACACCAAAAGTAATCAATTATATCGGTACAACAAAAGTCCTCAAAATAATAGATACATTCACCCTGCTCAAATACATCGGTACATACACAGCGTCAAATATATGAGTACATGCAAGATGCTCATAAATATCGTAGCAGCCACAGCGTCATAAGTAACGAAGCAGTCAAGGTGCGCAAAAATATCGGTACATTTGACAAAATTGAACTCTATCTCTATATACTTGTGATACAATTTTGAATAAACTACTTCTGTTACATTCATTTGACACTTTGTATTAACATTATAGGTTGTCCGGAAAGTTCGTTCTGATTTTCGATATGAAGCTTACAATAGACTGTAGCTGAAGTGGATTCATTTCCGGATTTCCACCATTATCAAACGTCACAAAAATTTCTATATTGTGAATAATTTCATTTCATTGGTTGAGATAAAAACTAATTTTTAAAATTTTATCCAATAATAAAAGACGTTTTAGGTATAGAGTTGTACCAATATAATTTAAAAACATTTCCAAAAATTTAAGAGAACAGGGTTTCAATTTTCCTTATAAAGCGGCACGAACTTACTGGGCAACCCAATATTTTTCTTCTCCTGTCATAACGCTTATTTAAGCGGCGTGACAAACTTTTATATTTATAAAAGTTTGTCACGCCGAATATGACAGATATGTATTAACTAATATCAAATTTTGCCTTGTCACAATATATATAATACTAGTTTGGCGCAGTATTCTAGTATGTTTGCCGTAATATGTAAGTTTACCGGTTCGAATCTCAGGCTACTTTTTTTTCATTTTATCAATCACGGGGTTATTTTTTTCATAACCAGTAAAAATTTGTTAATGTAAATTTTGCTCGACAATTTTTTTTTATAATTTTCGCTGTTGGGTAGAAAGAAATTTAAATAAAGTTAACAACAATTATGTCAGACCATCGCGGGTGAAGTGAGTGGGCGGAGCGTGGATTGTCTTTGCGGGTTTTAAGAATGGTACGCGCGGAAACTATACGTACAAGTGTTATCTACATATATGTGTGCGCCCACGCACACTGGAATGTTTATTGCAATCGACCAAAAATTTGATGTAGTTTGGATATTGACATTCAGTTTTTTTTCTTTGTTTCTTAAATATAATCAGTATCAGTAAAAGGTAAAAGTAAAAGTGTTATTTTTACCGGTACAAGTTTAACAAACATGAGTAATAAACAAATTACATGCCAAAAGCATCGCTTTATCTCCTTCATTTTTGTTTGAAATAGAAAAGTACTTTAACGGTCAAACTCATTAGTCCAAGACAATATCAAAAAGTACCTAATAACTACGGCGATAGAGTTTAATTACATGTGCTTCGATATTAAAACTAAAAAGTTTAAATATCAAAAAAAAAATAGTGGCTTGGGATTTGAACCGCCGACCTTACGTACCAACGGCGGCGAACGGTAAGGCCACGAGACCAAACTAGCATATATGATGACAAACTTAAATTTGATGTTGGTTTTATCTACATAATGTCTGTCATCCGCGTCGAACACTTTTAGTAAATTTTGAAAAATGGTTTGATGCAGAGTGTCAAATGAATGTAACAGAAGTAGTTTATTCAAAATTGTATCACAAGTATATAGAGATAGAGTTCAATTTTGTCAAATGTACCGATATTTTTGCGCACCTTGACTGCTTCGTTACTTATGACGCTGTGGCTGCTACGATATTTATGAGCATCTTGCATGTACTCATATATTTGACGCTGTGTATGTACCGATGTATTTGAGCAGGGTGAATGTATCTATTATTTTGAGGACTTTTGTTGTACCGATATAATTGATTACTGTTGATGTACCTATATATTTGCATATCTTGTCTGTGACGATCTATATGACGCTGACTGTACATGGTTGTGTATTAGCCGACTGGCAATTTTAAACTATTTATATAAAGCATAATATTAATATTTGTATTTTTAAAGTACATTATATAACCATGTAACCACCAGTATTTGATTATATTCAATAGTGCCAATTTATGTTTTAGTACGAACCCAATAACTATAAGACTTCCTTTTCCATTTAATACAAAACATAAAGGTTTAATATAATTATATATATTTTATATACATATTCTTTATTTATAACTGTATTAAATTATATTCATAATAAACAATGTATTAAAAAATTAAAAGGGAAAATAAAATGAATTGGCTGTTTTTTATGAAAATTTATTGATTTGATTTGTATTATTTTGGAAATTTATGTTATAATGTTTAAGTTTAGCTCATGACTTATGAATCGGTGCTAGATTTTATTACATATTGTACCTTATTAATTGATAGTGCTTCCAGATTTTTAATTACGAATGTAAAATAAAAATATTGAATAAGAAATAATTTATATACTGTTATCGCTGCCGTAAAACATTTCACTGTCAGTACTTCATTTGTATTGTCAATAAAGTTGTTTCAAAATAATTGTTTTACTAGATGTCGCTTGCAACTCCGTCCGCGCGGAATTAAAAAAAAACTTAATTCTTCCAGACTATGTTCTACAGACATGCCAAATTTCAGCGAAATCCGTTCAGCCATTATGGAAATTCATACAAACATTCGTCTATCTAACAATTCGCATTTATAATATTATCAAGAGTTTTTGATTAGCACACTAGCGCCATTGTTTTCTACAAATCATGTTAGTTTTTGACAACGTAAAAAAGATTTTTCTTATACAGGGTCATCAAACATATATCATACATCGCAGGTTGTTTAAGCCTTGCTTGTTTGTAGGTAAATTTTGACTAGAACTTTGATTATATCACAAATTTGACATTTGTGAAATATTTATAGCTTTCAATTGTTTAGTAAATCCGATATTGGGCTGTATAGCGGGTCTTTTAGATTTTACTAAACGATACGCATCGTCGTATTCCATTCCCAGAGACATTAAGTATGCTATTGCAACCATAGAAGTGCGAGATACACCAGCGTTGCAATGAATCAAAATATTTTCCTTATTGGCTACAGAGTCATAGATATAAGGCAAAGACTTTTTAACTACAGGCACTATATCCGTTTCTGGTAAATCTAAGCATTCAACATATTTATGCTTAACTTCACTTAAATCTACATCAATACCTAGACTAAGTACATTAGTTATATTGTAACTTTTTAACACTTTATCTGCAACACAATCCTGTGAGCCTATGTATACATAATCAGCAATTAAAACCGGTACATCATCAGGTTTTGTGTCCACTATGAAACCGTAATTGCTCGGTAATGCAATACTTTCTTGTCTACCCTCAATATATCTTTTTCCATCTACTTTTGTCACTACAGTTTCTGTCTTTTTCAGTTTTTGTTTGTTTTTAATTATTTCTTGTAAAAAACTCATTTTTCATCACTGTCACTTTCTGTATTTGGCTGCTGCACAATATTTTCTTTCTGGTAAACTAAATCTTCAGGGTTGTATTCAACATTGCAGAGATAGAGTCCATCAGGAGGACAGTTCTGAATAAAAGTGTGCCAGGAATGTTTTGATGGGACTTGCAACATCACTTTTATTTCTTCCGGAGGAATTTTTCCTATTGCAACACTAATTAATGTACCCACCATCCGACGAATCTGTGAAAGTTAAAATGAAAATAGTGTTTAGCATGAAAAAAAATTAATATCAAAGGTACTGCAAATCTCTCAAAAATAATTGAAATTAACTGACCAACGTGAATGTATAAAGATTTTATAATCTATTGAATTCAAGCCAGCATATAATTAACTAAATTAGAATAGTATTTTAAAAGAAAAGATACGACATTAAAATTACACATAATAACCTACCTGATTATGAACGAAAGATCTCCCTTTAATCTCAATATCCCAGTAATCAAATACACTATCCTGTGTACAAGAGTAGCTGGTGATTAATGGTCTTCCCGGCTTCACATCAAATGACTGTAGGAATCTACGGTTTTGTTTGTGTGTTGTTAACTTGTTGAATTTCATAAATGTAGTGAAATCATGATAGCCAACAAGATATTTTGCACCCTCCTTAAACTTTTCAATGTCAAAACCTGGAACTCTAAGAATAATATGTTTAGCAAAGATAATAAAAATAATGTTACTTAGTAGTATTTAAGTTACAATTTACCTAATAAAATGGCATCTTTTCCATTCTTCTATAGGCAAATATGATGCAATTATACTAGATTCAGGAAGTACAATATTAGGTTTTAGCACTGCTAGTCTGTAAAAAAAATCAAGGCAAATTTCTAAAACAAAAACTTAATTTTTGTAATGTGAATTTGGCTGCTGACTTGTTGAAATGTACACTGATCACTGAATATGTTCACCACTTGAGGTGAAGCATGTACGCATGTAAAATACGTTTTAAAGATTAATTTAAAATGTTACCTATATAAATATGTTCTTGACACAGCATTAAATCTTGCACTGAATTCATCTGATACTCTGAGGCATTTCTTCACATATATGCTTGTTTCAATTTTGTAGAAAAATTTGTTTAATTCATTCGAAATATATTCAGGATCGTAAACATTGGTGCCGTATCTCTCCAGGTCAAAATGTGCACTGGAATTAAGTGCATGCACTCCTCCATCTGTACTGTAATTTATCATAAATTGTAGTATACTTATTTTTCTACATACATAAATAATGTCAATGTTACAATCTTACTAATATAAAAATTGCAAAAGTTTGTTACAATGGATGTTTTTTATAATGAACAGACTAGCGCTTGACTAAGATCCCACAAGATGTTTTGTTCTTTCCTAACTGCACAATGGCTGAATGGAACAGGATGGTATTTGGAATAGATGGAATAAAAGACCTTGTATTCTGCGTAGCAGTAGTCGTACCAAAATAACTGTGTTCAAAAAAAATTATTATATCAAACAAGTGTCATTCAAAATTTTCGCCTAAATCTAAGCACTAAAGAAACTGGGATATTACTTTGAAACTAAATGATTCAGAGTCTGATAATGTCATTACATAATACGTATTAATTTCATTTCAGGTAACGAAAAATAAAATGTTTATTTACCGGCTAGACAAAGTGAGGTTAGGATAATTTAATGGTCGCAGTTTTAAGAGCCCAATTTCCATCAGACCCTGTATACTTTCAGGATCAGGATAGTTTTTACCATTTTTCAGCCATATTTTTTCAGAGGATCTAGAAAGTTATAAAAATATATATAGGTTAAAATTTAAAAGTAGTACACAAAACGTTTTGTATACTTGCAAATGTTTGTACCTAAATTTAGTGCCTATATAAGAAAAGTATGTGAGATATCTAGCTTTCATATTTATTTATTTGTATAAATTTGTGCTTTAATTTTAAATAATAATAAGTTAAAAATTGTTTAAAATACAAACATAACCTCTTTAAAATAAGATGCAAATGTCACTGCTGCACTGACAGCTGATAGGAAATAGATAACAACAAAAAAAAACATAGGTTTAAAACAGTAAAGCGGTACAAACCAAAATGTATAATAAAAAGCAACAATTACAAGCTTGAAAAGATAGAATAAGTCAAATCTTTTGTCTTTCTACACTTTCTGAACTTTAAAGTTAAATTAAAGTTAAATAACCAAAAAAAAAATACATTGCTTGTGTTTTTGTTTTGCGTTGTTATGTTGACATTTTGAAATTTTGACGTTTGACGTTTGACGCTAACATTTCGATGTCACCAAACTGTCACTAACAAATCAAAAAATGGCTCAACGGACGTGGCATACTTTCTTCGTGTTAATTTTAATTTTTACGATTTTATCAATTGTGGGCGATGTTTTATCAACATCACCGGGACCATGGTACGAGAATTTGCCTGCAGTTACCATGGACTACAAAGTACACATTGATGCGGGCAAAGAAGATTGTTACTTTCAGTATGTGCAACCTGGTGCGACATTTTACGCTAGCTATCAGGTAAAATTGTATTTGGTGTATTAGGTATAATCTAAAAATGCTTAATTACAAATGAGGTTAATTAATTCTTTAATGTTTACTTAATATTTTGATGTACTTTGCAGGTGTTAAAAGGAGGAGATGGTATGTGTGGTTTTGCGGTGCGCCATCCTAATGGGCAAATTGTTCATCCATACGAATGGCGGCAAAGCGCTGAGTACGCAGATCAAACGAGTTCGGGTGGATACTACGCCGTGTGTATTGACAATCAGTTCTCCAGGTTTGCAGGCAAGCTGGTGAACTTGTACTTATCAGTGATCAGATACGACATGTGGGAAAAGTATGCCAAGGAGGTTGAAGAGCTTGATATGAATATAAAGAACTTTACAGTAAGTTTTTTTAATTTTCTCAGATGTTAGTACTAAGGCAGTTGTGAAAGAGGTTGTCATATAAGCTAATATTTAAATTGCTGATTATTTTGTTTATACTCAGCATCAATTGCAAAATAGATGCTGATATTTGAAGATTTTTAGTTGTATTCAGAATATCTTCAAGATTTTATTATGAAAAATGACATTACATTAAATAAGCACAATTAATAAGTACCTATTTGTTTTATAGCATTCTATTCAATTTGTGGAGCACAACATCAATGAGATTCTGCAGTATCAATACCATTCCAGAGCGAGAGAGTCACGAGACTACAACTTGTTGCAGGATAATAATGCTTATGTACTTAGGTAAGTTTCTTTTATGACTGACAGCAACTCATTTAGAGGTTTCTTGCTTATCCAAGTTCACTATTATATTGGAATTAATGAACTCATCAATGTTGTTGGAGAAATAATATTATGCTGTTGTATTTCATCTCATTATTGAAATTCAGATTTACATCATCCTGTAACCTATCACTTCTTGTCTCTACTCGGCACAGTGTGGTGAAAATAAACTCCTTACAATGTATATCTTACAAATATTATAAATGTGAATGTTTTGATGGATGGATGTATGTTTAAAGGTATCAAAACAGCTGAACAAATCTCAATTAAATTTTGCATACATATACAATATAGTCTGGAAGAACAGATAGGCTGTTAATTATGTTTTTTTTTAATTCCATGCATATGGAGTCACAGGTGACAGCTAGTGTTATTTATGTCTCTAAGTATTTTTAAACAATTCAAACTGTTATTCTTTAATTTTAGATGGTCCTTCGTCCAGATCCTAGCTATTGCAGCTACTGGGACATTGCAGGTGTATTTTGTAAGAAAACTTTTTGAGGTTAAGGATAACTCGTCCAAAACAAGAATATGATTTGATTTTTTGTGTAATAATTCTAAGATTATTTCATTGTTATTGTCTTGACTCCCTTCTGACTGAGTTCTGTTAATTGTGTTTGTCATTCATGTTTGATGATCTCTGATTTTTTTTTATTTTTATAAGTTTTTAAAATTGGGTTTTTTTTTTAAATAATAAATACCTAAATAATACTCTTGATTCCCACAATGCAGTTATTTTAAATAGTTTTTTTACTATAATAATTATAATAATAATTCTTCGCTTAATGTACATACTAATTATATTTTTGATATATAACTTCCAAACTTATTCTTAATTAAAAGACATATTTTTATATACCTATTTAGGCATATTTCTGTAATGCAGGAATGTGTGATATATTTCTACTTAAAAAAGTTAACAAATATTAAAATTATGTGCCAATTTTATGTGGTGTTAATTGTTATTGTACAAAGAATTTGATTTATATGTAATGAATCGGCCTTCAAAATGACTATAGAAGTATATTAATAAATGTTGAGTACTTACAAATTGTTTTATTTAAAAAAAAATACTGGCAACTTTATCAGAGCAGAATTAAAAAAAAATAGCCGCGTTCATCAGCCAGCCACCTTCCCATCAAAATAGGTCCCGCCGTTCCGGACAATGCCCGAAAAAAAGTTGCCTTGAGGACTGATATACATACAGGAATTAAAAAGAAATTGGGTTATTCGTTAACAGCAACGCAAATGCATCACATTGCAGTGAAAAAATGTGAAGGCGTCAAACGGACATAGACAAAGAAAAACGAAACAGATTAAATTAAATTGTTTATTTTGTATAACACCATAATATGCAAGTCTCAGCAAGTTACTAAAAAAGTGTATATACAATTATAATAATTTACTTATGTAAATACTATTATAAAATCGTATTCATACGCGGTCTTATTTCATTAAACATTGGATTTTAAGTAATTTTGTGCATATCGTATTCAGATTTGTTAGACAAAGCTTTGAGGATTTCTAATTATACGTCGCTTTACAAATCAATAGGTAACTAAATATTACAATTCTACATTTAAAAAAAAAACTTTGTACGTCAAAATTTAGATTTTTTCACTCGGAATAAATCAATAAAAGAATCAAATCGACATTTAAAAAATAAAGTTCCTGAGATAGAGATAGTTCTACGAAGTTATAGCAATCTGTCTCTTTTCAATGTTATAGTGTTTCATTGCCTCAAAAAGTCTAAAAAAGTACCGAACTATTATTTATTACGATGCAAAACAACAAAGGAATGTAATAAATCAATGTATAACAATTTTAATTAGTTCCTTGTCCGCTAGTTGACTAGTTAATTTATATAGCGGACAAGCAAAGCCATCGGATGACACCTAGTCTATGGTAGAGTTTTAAACATAATCTGTACAATAAATTGCTGCGAATCTCAAACGTAACTGTACAATAATCTACATACAATTCTTAAAAACATAAAGCATCATTTTTATAACAATGGATCACACATAAAAATAGCCTAAACATTATATTCATTCGTATTTCAAATTAATTTCATAAATTTAACTTTTTTTTAAATATATATACAAATAGTAATCGTTAGTTGATCAAATTAATAATTAATAATAATAATTAAGTTGTAATAATGTCTTCTTAAATAAATAAGCACCAATATTCACAGTTCGGTGCACGTCACTTACGCTACAGACCAAGTTAACTTTATACTTAAATTCTAAACAGTAATAAGGCAGTGCTTGGACGGCTACTGGCTACAGATATACTTCATAATTAGTAGAAAATGCATCATTCAGAAGTAATAGGAATGTGTTCATGATTCGTTTAGTTTTAGACAAGTAATTTTGCCCTCGGAAAATTTATGAAACATTTGGTCCCCTTTATTTTATTACAGTAGTATAGATTTTTTTTAAATAGCATTTCGCTTAATTATTTGAATATGTAAACGGTGAAAGAGAAGTTAGAGTGCAGTTTCAGTCTAGGGCGCTCGCTTCCTGTGTCCGAGGTATGTGCCGGAGAGTGCGAGCAGACGGTAGCGCTGGCGCAGGTTGCGCGCGCGCACGTGCGCAGACGCGATCTCCACAGTGTAGGAGCCGGGGAACCAGCCCGCCTCGCCGTCCCGCGTGCGCTCGCCGTAGTACCAACCTATGATACATTCGAGTTAGTCCACAAAGTTCAACATCACGTAAATAATAATTTTTATCAATGTTTGCATTACCTTCGCTGGTCTTACGCGTGACGTTGACGACGTCTCCCTCTGCGAGCGGCAGCTCGTCGGGCTGCGCGGGCGCGTAGGCGTAGAGCGCGGCAACCTGCGGGCAGTCCCAGCCCGCGTACACCGCCTCGCCCGCGCCGCCCTGCAGCGGGGCCAGCGCCTCGCTCCAGCGGGACAGGTCCGTCTCGCTCGGACACGACATCACCTGCACACATCAAGATACTAGCTTGAACCGGCTACATCATTAAAAACATACGCTGGCTGAGCGTAAGACCTAATGCTCAAGGTTGAGGAAGGCGAGGGACATTTCCGCTCATGACCAAAATTCTTTTTGTATTTAAGTCCGTATACTTACCATCTCTACCGTGCGCGCATCTCTGTTCTCGAGCAATGTGAGCAGCAGGGCGTGCTTGGCGGCGGGCGGGGCGGCCGCACCCTCGCACACCTCCAGCAGCGAGCGCGCGCACCAGTCCACCGCCAGGTACGACTCCTCGCTGACACGTGACATAAGAAATTGTTTCCAATTGGAGAATATTGGACAAGTGTAATGTGGTACCGGAGTAACAACTTACCCCTTCTTCTTGGTGACGACGAGGAGGTCGTTGAAAAGGAAGAGATGCAGCGGCACCTTGTGGAATTTCTTGCCGAACGTCAGCTTCAGCTCGTCCGCCTTCCAGATCAGCTGCGTCATCTCGCCGGACCGCACCAGCCACCGGATCGGCCTAGATGGAAATACATTGCGAACTTAGTAGTGGCTAATTGCAAATGAAATGTTGCTTTATATGTTTGAAATGAGTCATACTTGCGATCTCTGCGCGAGCAGGCGGGGCCGAGCAGGGGCGCGGTGCGCGCGTGCGAGGGGAACTCGATGGCGGCCGCCAGGCGGAACATCTCCTCCACGCGCTCCGTGTTGCGCGCGCCCTCGTTGCACTGCGACACGAACTGCGCGCCACACAATGCAACATAAAGTATTTCTAGTTATACTAATAGTCAGATGTGATATCGACACCATGTTTTATCAAACAATGTGGTGGCGCCAGTGTGCTAGGTGTGATGAAGTGACTCACGTCGTTGAGCGTGGCGAGGGCGTGCATGCAGCCGTCGTACTCGCGGTCTGCGGGCTGCAGGTTGCGCAGCACGGCGTCCAGCAGCAGCGGCAGCCGCGTCACGCGCTGCATCGGCAGCATCAGGAAGGAGTGCAGCGACAGACTCTGGCACGCCGGGTGGCTCTCCAGTCTGATACATCATTCGTAAGTTTATCGCAAGAGGCGGAAATACGACAAAGTAGGTCATCTATTGTTATGCGACCACCGCCTAATCATATACTGCTCACACCCAGTGGTATACCTTTTGAGTGCGTTGGCGAAAGCTGGGCGGTCTCGTAGCCGTTGCAGCGCGCGCACCATCAGCACCTGGTTCTCACAGTACTTGACGTAGGCGTGGAAGCGCGCCTCTGCGTGCCGCCGCACGATGTCGCAGATGTCCTGCAGCAAGATGTTCTCCTGCCAGCACTTCTCTAGGTCCATCATCAATAGTTGCGAGCACTTACGCACTGTAACATGAATATGACAGTTAGAGATAGTGGTGATTGCGAAGCTAGTGAGCTTACATTGTAATGTATGTACCTGGCAATATGGTAGAGAATAGCGTATCCCAGTCGTGCGGCGGCAGGACGTGCGGGTCACGGAAGGCGGGGTGCGAGATGAAGTGCGCCTCCAACACGTTCAGAGAGTTCAGGTACGACGCCTCCGACGTCAGCACCTCGAACTTGGCCTCTTGCAGACGCTTCTGTGCTGGCGCTAGTGAGCCTGCTCCGCAAAATTAAAAAAATATTATACCATTGATCATTTCGAACGTTGAGAATTACTTATCGTAGCTTTTTGAAGTTAATATATTATTTACTCACTGAGCACGGCTGAGTTGAGCACTTCGGGCACTTCGCACCAGAGAGTGCGTGCGGGCCCGCGCGGCGCCACTAGCGCCATGGCGGAAGGCCGCGCCCGCGCCGCGCTCGCTTCGTACCCGTCCGAGTCTGAATCGCCGCTCTCACGGCACGCCGACTGTGCAAACAACAATGTTATTAATTTAACTCGATATGTTATTAGATAAGACACTAGTATATATCCATGTTAATTCTCACTTCTACAAAAATTCACGAGTATTAAAAATATCGTTATCGACTACGTGCAAGATTAGGCACACGTAATAAAAACAATGCCGTTCAACGCGAGCATTGCTAATATGAAAATAAATAACGCATACATGGAGATCAATATCAAGGATAAGTAAAGGTCATATTAATTTAAGGGGTTAATAGAAGTGATAAAAATTAACACAAACATTTATAAATATAGTGTTTGTGGGCGCCTCGGTGACGTGTTAATTATTGTTAATTACATTGATGCATTAACAGTTTTGCATATTTTATTATGTTTTTCCAGTTTTATTACGCCTTTGATCTGTACATTATTACTAGATTAACTGACATAATATGCCTGCTTTCGATTTCTTTGCTTATCGTATTAATATTTGGATTAGCTAAGTAACTTACATTGTGATATTAAGAATGAAACCAAATGTATTTCTTCATTATAAAATGTTTTGTAAATTTGTTTAAATTTTTAAACAAATCTGTGTCAATGTTTCCGTGTTTTTTTTTTATTATAAAAAACATTAGAACCTTTTAATTTAAATGCTTGTTGACAGTTGCTTTTAATGAGAATTCCTGCCATTAGTGACGTAATACAAACTAGCAAAGTTTGCTACGTTCAATTTAATGCGAATTACGATAACAATTCCTTGAAAGGCGACCAACGTGATGCCAGTTAAAAAAAAGTCAAGTATGCGGTTCTCAATGACCGCAATAAAAGAACAAGATCAGACTTATTTTATTAAAGTTTTTTGTTTAAATTTCCAGTTGGCTGTCTGTCAGAAGAGGCCTGCTCAGTTTCCACTATTAAAAACAATGTAGGTTTCGACCTTTTTACACTTTCAAGGTCATATACATAAATCAAGGGCTGTCTATACCAATTGAATATATATTTCAATAGAAATCTCCTACATATTGATACAAGTAAGAAATAATTATACAGGAAATTAGAAAATAAGGCACAATGTAAACGTATCGACGCTTTACATCAATAGTTATTCTACTATGAGGCAAGTAGTTACATAAATCTGGTTGAATAAAGTAAATACGCAATTATATTTTTCAAAATTTTCTACGTATGTTAACAAATCCTAATATTTTTGGTACTGTCACTACTAAACAATGTAAATACATTGTAAGTGGTGATAAACAGAAGAACTTAATAGTTAAATATAGTGAATATACGATTATTAATATCCTGCAAATTCATTAGTTTATATCCGGCAACAAGGTTACCATTTAAAAAAAAA